TCATATATAGTTTGCTCATTTTAATTATGTTTGCTCATTGATAATAGAGTACCAAGTCACAAGATTTCTAACAAGCCCACTACTACAAATCCCTTAGTTTCTAGACGCTTTTTCCTCGACGCCAGATAACAAGCGTTAGCAAGAAAATTAATTTCCGTGTTTTTTCGACGCTTTTAAGCGTCACAATTGGTCTCCACATATAAAACCTTAGTGCACGTGACTACAACCCATATCCCGGGACTTTAAAATTTTGGAAAAAAAAAAAAGCGGGCTAAGCTAGCTAAATCAAAAAAATTAAAAAAAACTCCCATATACAGTGAGTATACCAAAAGTTTTAGACTGAAGAAATAAAAAAAACCCAAACTACACGCCATAAACCGTAACTTGCTCGCTGAAGATCGATCTCATCTGATCTCATCACTTGAAATTGTTGAATTTTCGTTCCTTTCTTCAGTATTATCTTCAATTTTCGGTAATCTCCTCGCTCTTGTCATCAATTTTCGTAATCTCCTTGTTATAGGCATCAATTTCGCAGGTTTTGGTTGATATATTATTCACTCAAATTATGTTGCTTATGCTGAATCTTTGTTTATTCATTGCATGTTATGGGAATTCTTTTTGCTAATGGGATTTCGAAACGACCGACGCAGAGAAGTCAAGAATATATATCACGCAGGGCATGGTCTAATTAATTAGATACTTTTTTATATAATACTTTTAATTATTGATTGGTATTTGTTTTGCTTGATTATGTTTCTTGAATTGTAGATTTTTTGTATTAATTTTGTGAAATTTTAATTTTATTTGGGGTTTCTAGGTTAATTTTGTGAAATCATACTCTTAATTGATTTATCACCTTCATCGATAACAACAAGCTACAAGCCACCGAATTTTTGTTCTTCTGTATCAGCCCTGTAATTAACAATTTAAACGTGACCTCATTAAGACAGGGTCCTGCCTTTTATATTGTGATACGAACTCATAGCCTCGTTCATTCTAGAAACTTTACACAGCCCAGTGTAAGACTTTTTCGTGTGTTGGCCACTGCATAGTCCCTCGATAACAGTATTATAAGAGACAATATCACATAATCCTTTCACTTCCATGACATCAAGCAACAAATACGCCTTGTCCAGGCGCTTAGCTTTACAAAGACCCTTCAGAAATTGGTTGTAGCTGTATATATCAGGTTCATGTCCATTCTTTTCCATCAGTTTCTCAGCCTCCATTAGCATAAGCTGATCACAACTATAACCCAACAGTATATTATATGTGACTTGATCTGGCTCACATCCATTCCTCATCATGTATGATTTGATGGTGAGTGCTTTACTGATCTGGTTAACCTTACAAAACCCACTAATAAGGGCATTATAACCAGTATACTTGTAGGTGCTCCGCATTTCATCATATCTACTATAAGCTCGTAAGCTAAATCAACTTTACCACCACCACATAAACCAAGAACCAAAGCTCTACGAGCTTTGTCATCTGGATTCAATCCAATCTTTATCATAGTATGCCAAATCTCAACAGCATTGTCAAATTGCCCTACTTTACACAATCTACTAATAAGTATATAATAGTAAAAGTTACAGCATCTGGTTGTCTGCCCTTCTGCATCATATCCCGTAATAATCTTAAAGCCGAGTCTATTTTATTTTCCTGGCACAACAAATGTAAATATATATTGTATGCTTATATGTCCGGCACAGATCCAAGCTTTTCCATATCCTCCAACAGATACTCAATGTGCTGCCTTCTGCTTGTTGTTTGTGCTGCTGCTTGTTGTTCATGGTGTTCTGCCTGCTGCCTTTTCTCTTTGATGGTTGCTGCTATCCTCTGCTTGTTGTTTGTGATGCTTCTTGTTGTATGTTGTTGGTGTTCTGCCTGCTGTTTGCGGCCTTCTGCTTGTGATTTGTGTTAATGTAATTACTTTCAGTTTAGTTTTAATAAAATCAAGTAAACTTAACGTTGCTTAGAGTTCTTTATCATACTTTAGTGATTCCAAGCCAAGAATCATAGCTACAAACTTTTTAAGACGTTAGATTATTATACATAACTTTTTATTATTTATGGGTAAAGTACTTATTCTAGGTTTTTTTAACCGTATTTTTTATAAGGATTTCCATTCATATTGCATCAAACTTGAAATACTCCGCAAATGTTAATCAAATGTGTAGTCTTTTTGGTCACGCCTAGTGTAAATATATACTCCGTACCTACACAAATGGATGCCAAGAGAATATCTTATAAATAAACCTAATGATTGAGAGTATCAAATTTGTATGCCAAAGAATATATTTGTAACATTGATTACTAAAAATCGTACAAGTTTGACTTATGTAATAAATATATATAAATCTTAAGCCAATAGGCTAATATTTATGACATATCTTAAAATTTGAAGTGGTGTTTTTGTGTTTAATAGGTGACAGAGGAGGAGCTTGTCTAAAAATTGTTCTAGATTGTGATAGTTGCTGCACTTAGCGAGTTGGCCGAGGTAACTACCCAAATTCCTAAATAATTTTATATGACATATAATTGTATATTATATTTTCGTGTCATATGTATGGTAGATAGCCCTCCCAAAATAGTTTTACATAATTTACGATATTGATCATATATGAATAAAAATGTAAGTAATTAAGTTGTAGATTTGTAGTGAGGTAGTATATTATATATAATTCATTAGGTCTTATCTATGTGCTTATTAATTATATTAAATTAATACATGTATGTATCTATTTTTTTGTGAATGCTTCCATGTATTATTATGTTTGATCACTTTATTTGTATCTTGTCTCCAACCACAATGATAACATCATATAAAAGCTATAGAAGGGGAAACCTAACAGTGCTAAAAATAACCTAAGTGATGGAATATGTTGTTACACTCTTCTTAAACTATAACATTTATAATATTTATTACCAAATTATTGTTAGCTTATTATTGATACTCATTAATAATTATTAAATATTAAATTTTATTATGAATTTCATTGTAGATATGGATACTAGTTGGATTGATTTACCAAAAGGAAAATCTGCCTATTATGAGGGTTGCATGAAATTCTTAGAGATTGCTAAGGAGACTCTTATAGATGGAAAAACCAAATGCCCATGTAATAAGTGCAAGTTAAATAAATGGCATCTTTTAGAAGAAGTAGGAAGCCATATTTTATTAAACGGTTTTTATAAGAATTATAGAAAATGGATTTTCCATTGTGAGGGTGAAGGGAGTAATACCTTAAAGCTCGCTGGTGATCATGGGAAGGAAGTAGATCGAGATGATATGGATGGGCTGCTAAGAGCGGCTTTCGGGGTTTGCAGTCCACAATCCACTAATGAATTCCAAGCCCCATCATCCAATGAAACGAACTTTGACGAGGAAGGTTCATATGACATGCATGAAGCTAGAGTTTGATTTTCATTGTGAGGTAGATGATGAAATGCCTTCAACTAACACTAATGAAGAAATGGAAAAGTATAAACGTCTCATGGAAGCTTCTAACGAGGGTCTATATGAGGGTTGTACTACTTTCTCAAAGTTATCATTTCTCTTACATCTGTTTCACTTTAAGTGTATGTTTCATTGGTCTGCCGAGTCATTTAATAAATTGATTGAACTTCTAAATGACGCATTCCCTCATATTAAAGAGTTTCCATCATCTTACTATGAAGGGATGAAAATAATCAAAGACTTGGGATTAGGATATGAAAAAATCCATGTATGTCCAAATGATTGCATGTTATATTGGGGGGAATTTGCCGATGAAATTGGGTGTCATATTTGTCATACATCAAGGTGGAAAACTATGAAAGGGAAGGAGGGTGACACAATTGAGAAAGGGAATAAATCAGTTAAGAAAGGTGAGCCAGCTAAAGTTATGCGATATTTTCCTCTCATACCTAGATTAAAGAGGCTTTACATGTGTTCTAAAACAGCAGAGGATATGAGATGGCATTTCAACCGTGAGGATGATAAGATCCTAAGGCACCCTGCAGATGGTGTTGCTTGGAAAAAATTTGATGAAAAATATAAGGAATTTTCCGCCAACCCTCGTAGTGTTAGATTGGGATTAGCTAGTGATGGTTTTAATCCATATCGTCTAATGAATAGTAATTACAGTACATGGCCGGTGGTTTTAATTCCTTACAATCTTCCACCATGGATTTGTAACATTGCGAAGATAGAGACGTATTGTCCACTTGGAGAAGAGGATTGGCATGCTATTGATGAGCATTTTAAAAAGAAGATAATTAATGTGATGAGAGTATGTATCACCTTTTTTTTTATTACTTCTCATAAGAAACTCCCTTTTTCATTCATGAATTTATTTATTTTTACTAACCTATAAATACTCTTACTGAAGTTACTTGTTTTTCATGTATAAGGACCGCTTTGTGATTCCCATAGATGAACTATATAACAAAGCAGCCCTCAAGCATGTTAATAAAAGTTGGAGGCAATATAAGTTTAATCTTAAGAAGGATTACTACAAACCAAAAGAGAAAACTTTAGAAGAGATGTGTAGCACTACACCACCGCATGGGATTAGTAGTCAAAATTGGATAAAGCTACTTAAGTATTGGGATTCAGAGAAGGGAAAAGTAAGTATATTTCTTCCTATTGAGATATCAGACATCTTGCTTATAGCAGCTTTTATTAGATAATTTGTGGGCCAACAAGTAAAAAGCCAACAAAAAAAAGCTACTTATAGCAGCTTTTTCGCTAAATGAAAAGTCAATTATCAAACACTTTTTTTGGTTATTTAACCACATGAAAAAGCCAAAAACCAAAAGCTAACCAAAAAGCCACCGAAAAGTCATTTACCAAACATGGACATAGTGAGGCATTGTTACATTGAAATTGAATTAAAAAATAAAAAATAAAATACGTAGTAAAAAAATTATTATTAGAGTTTTTTTTTTTTAAATTTTACTAGTCCAAATTACTTGCATTATTTTAATTGGACAAGCTTTGATAATATGTAACTTTGTCTACATAATTATATTCCTTATTAAGATAAAATGGGATATTATTGAGTCGTTGGACTCTCAATTTAGATTTTAAGGGTTGCAAAATTGATGACTTAGCTTAATTTGCGCCTGCAGAAACCAATCATAACGTTGAAATTATATTTCAGATTCATCCGTTCTCAAAGATACATAGTGGAAGTGTGGAACTGTGGAAGGTGACTCAAGGTGTATACAAGATCCAATAATCTTAAAAATAACCATTAATTTAATTTGTTCAGAAAAAAAAAAGAAAAACTTTCATATGAAAACAATTTTTTTTATATATTTTTTAATTCTCTCTCTCCTCTCCTCTCCTCTCCTCTCATTTTCTCTTTCTAACTTTCTCTCTCTAAACCCAGTACAGCATCATCTTCATCATCATCAAAATTGAATAGCAGATCTTCAACTACTCAACGATGTTTTATGATTGATTTCATCACATCCAGATTTTCATCATCTCGATTGTCTCTACCTACCAATCGCACCCCATCTTTCCCTTTTCTGTAAGTTCTCTCTCTTTTTCTATGATTGTAATTCATCTCTTCCGATCTTACTTGATCTGAATTTCTGGGTTTGAATTTGAACAGAGTGAAATGCTCACAATCTGGTGGAAATGGAACCCCAATCAAGAGGACGAGTTTGCATGAATTATATATGAAAAAGAAGAGCAGATTTTCTGTTTCGTTGAATTTTGCCCAATTTTTAGGGTTTTGATTGTTGTGGTGGTTGGTGGCTGCTTTAGCAGTGGAATTGGTTGGTTGGTAAGAGGTTACTAAGTCGGTCAGGGTTACTCGGTCGGTTAGGGGTTATTCTTACTAGTTCGGTCAAAGATTACTCGATCGGTTAGGGGTTACTCTTACTAGTTCGGTCAATCAGGGGTTATTAAGTCGGAGGGGTTACTCGATCAGAGTTACTAGGCCGTGTATTAGCCGGCCACACCGCGTGGCCAGCCACACACAAGACCTGATAAATAATTTAATTATCCGCAATCAATGTCAGAGGAAGAAAAAAAGAAAAGAAAAGAAAGTTACTTTAGCCCTTTAGGGAGCTGGGCCTTAATGGATCACCATTAATCTCTAGGCACATGGCAATTAGCAAATATTCATTGTATCATATTATGGAGGCGAAACTTGAACATAATCTACTGTTTTAGATGAAATCAGTCCATAATGAAAGTATGAGAAAAGAAACAACAAACATCATTATATTACAGTTTCTAGTCTTACAAGGGCCCGGAACTTAGCCCGAAATAGGAACTGACTTAAATCGAAACCGACCCGCTTAGAAGTGGATCAAAGTTGACCAGTTTTTGACCTGATACCCAATGTTTATCTTTATCAAAAGTTACCCGGCATTTAAATTGATCCAAACAAATTTTTATCCCAATTAATTAATCTAAATATTCGTGATACTCAATCTAACCCGAATGGAAATTGTCTGATACTCAAAATGATCCAAACAATTTCAGCCGAGATTAATTGATTCAAACAAACCCGAATATGAAATAACTCAAAATAAACTGGGCCAATTTTATATAAGAAAATTACATATTTGGAGTATTTCTCTTCTTCCTCCCCTCTTCTCCATTGAGTTATAACAGCTTGGTGAAAACCAACAACTGCTAGACATACTACAAAATCGGGGATCCTCGCTGCCACAAGATTAAAAAAGGCTAAACGAACGAAGGCTAAGAGTGAGGTCGAACCCAACCCAAAATGACTCGATCTGAACTTGACCTTTAATCTTGGCTTGAAACTCTAACTGATTTAAATTGACTTGATCGAACATGACTCGAAGCCTTAACCCGAAACCCAACTCGACCCGAAAATATATTAATCTAAACAATCCCAAATTGACTCGGCCCAAACCTCTTCAAATAGTTGACCTGAAATGACATGATCCAAACTACCCAATTGTCAAGCCTAGCTAAGCACATTTTACTAGTTACTACTCCATACTATTACTAATAGTTTTCTAGCTTCTAACAATAAAATGGAGATAAAATACACCACTTTTTTCTAGCGATTGGTGGCTTATTTTACTCGCTTTGTTTATACACTTCTTTTTCTGAATTGCTAAACATCGCCCGCGAATCTCCACATAAAGCCCACAAAATTAGAGTGAAATGTCACTTTTGCCCTCAAAGTAAAAAACACAATTTCTTCTCTCTATTCTCTACTTCCACTTTCTCTCTCTAAAAAACTTTCCGAGCGATGTCGAGGCGGCCCGGCAAGGAAGTGGCGGCACAGGCGGCGGGTGGACAGCGGTTTTCCGGCGAGAAGGTATTTTTTATTAATTTTGTGTTTAAAAATTAAAAAAAAAAGGTCGGAGGCGGTGGCGGCGCCTAGGCCAGACGCCACCACCACGGCGGAGGCGCCTAGGCCAGACGCCACCACCACGGCGGCGGCGCCTAGGCCAGACGCCGTGACGGTGGCGGTGGCGTCTGGCCCAGGCGCCAGAACCACGGCACCGGCGTCTGGCCTAGGCGCCGCCGCCTTTTTATTTTTTTTTTTTTTTTTTTTTTGGTTTTAAATTTGAAATTTAATTTTCGAAAATAATTAATTTTTTTTTGATTTTTTTTTAAATTTGTTTTTCTTTTTTTTAATTTTAAATTTTATGTTCCTCTTTTTTTTTTTTAATTTTTAATTTTGTGTTCTTGTTTATTGTTTTTGTTTTTTTTTTTTTGAATTAGTTTTTTTACTTAAAAAAAATTTTATGTTCCCTTTTTTTTTTTATAAATTTTTTTTAAAATTTTGATGTTCTTCTTTTTTTAAGTTTTTATAATTTTATATTTTTCACTTTGTTTTTTCCAATTTGTTTTTTTTGGGTAATTTTTTTTTTTTCTTTGTTTTTTCCAATTTTTTATTTATTTATTTATTAGGTTATTAATTTTTTTATTTTTAGGTTGTTAATATTTTGTAATGTTTTTAATTTATTTTCCATCATATGTATATTGTTTTATTTATTTATTTTAATTACTTTTTTTATGTTTATATTACATGTTTATATTGCATATTACATGTTTTGTTATTTTGTGTTAGGCATCGTATTTTCGTTCTGGGGCTGGGAAGAGTATGGACATTATGAGAAGTACGATGAACTCAATGGAGAGCTCGGGGCCCAGACACGTTAGATCCCGTGGTATTTCGGCCTCGGCTCGTAGAGAACGGGTGCACTATTCTGAGGATGATGAAGATGATGATGGTGATGAGGAGGAGGAGGAGGAGGATGCAGATGAGGATGTGGACGATCAGAGTGGACCATATGATGATTACGGTCCATTCAGTCAGAGGCTTGATGATGTGTATGAGACGCGTAGGGTAGACGTGCGTAAGGGTAGAGATGGTAGATTTGTTAGTAGATCTGGCACATCATCTGCGTCCACTGTGTCTGCGGTTAGCAGAAAACGGTCGAGGGCCGTTAATGATTCTTGGGTGGTGAGGGGCGAGGTGGCTGGGGGACCTATAGACGGGAGTGTGATTCCTAGCTTTCTAGGACACATCGCTACCCGTATTTGGGAGGACCAAGAGCGGGCTTTGGATAGCGGCATTTTGAAATGCCAAACCCGGGAGAGGACTTGTAACTTCTTGTGTAGTTGGGCTGAGGCTTGGCCGGAGGAGAGCGAGATGGTCGGCCGATTGAGGGCCACTAGAGTGAGCCACCTTCCTGCCACCATGCATGAGAGGATTGACTCGACGCTGATCACGGCTTTCGTTGAGCGATGGCAGCCGGACACGAACTCTTTCCACCTTCCGTTCGGTGAGATGACGATCATGTTGCATGACGTCGAGGCCATCCTTGGGATTCCCGTAGAGGGAAACCGAGCATCTGTTGTCACAGATGCGGATCAGGCAGATTTATTGGCGGAGCTGTTGGCGGTGGATAGGGCTGCGCTGTACACAGCGGCACTTGGTGTGTGGGATCACGGCGGTGTTAAGATCGCAGCAGTTTTGCAGCGATGTTTGCACCCCACTTCACGTAGGACGCAGGACACACAGCTGGCTGCATATGTTTTTCTTCTTCTCGGGTGTACCTTGTTTCCGGATAAGAGCGGAAACAAGCTCAGGCCACGCGACATAGTTGACGCGTGTGAGCCCGACAGAGTAGGCCAGTTTTCTTGGGGGTCGGCTACATTAGCGTACATGTATCGCCAGTTAGGATTCTCGAGCCGGGCTGATGCGGCAGGTATCACTGGATGTATGACGTTGTTACAGACGTGGATATACGAGTATTTCCCGGCGTTTCGACCACACCGCGACCCGGTTCCTATTGGGGATGGCCAGCCACGTGCCTGTGCGTGGAGTCCGCGTGTCGAGAAGAAGTCCATTGACCGCCTGCGATCGATACGGTTATTGCTTGACAGGATGTCCCCATTAGAGGTAAAGTGTTTAAATTATTTCTACTTTTATAGTTTGATGTGTTTATTGTATGAATCTTACTAATTTTAAAAAATGTGCAGGTGAACTGGATGCCTTTCGGCCAGAACCCTAGTAATAGGGTACCCAGGACCCTCTACACGGGACTGATTCAGTATCGTGAGATCGTAGAGGCGTACATGCCGCAGCGCTGTCTTCGCCAGCTTGGATATGTCCAAGTTGTTCCTCCTCCACCAGCATGGCCCAGTAAGGCCATCCGATCTGCGTCGTCGAAGGAGTACGTCGTCCAATGGCCGGCAAGCATGATTGGCACGTGGGAGCAGTTTCCGATGGTTGCCCGCATATGGATTGAGCAGCTGCAGCGGCCGCCAACTGGGGTGGCTGCCATGTGTGACCAGCACTACATGGAGTGGTACAACCGGCACTCGCACCCGAGGTTGATCAGAGACGTCCACCACGGCGACGACGCCGATGATGATGATGTGCCACCGCCCACTGCCGTGGATGCGGTACGTCTCATAAGACATTTGTAGTTGTGTTTTTTTCCATATAATACGTCTCATAATACGTCGTTATTGAATTTTATGTGTTTTGTTATGTGTAGTGGATGGGAAAGATGACGCAGTTGGGACACAGACTTTTTGAGGAGAGGGACAACATGACGACTGCAACAGGCAGAGCTGTTATTGATGAACTGGAACGGGCCCTTGAGCAGTGGCAGTGGGCGTCACAGAGAGATTATTGATATGTCGGCAGTGCATTTATAAAACATTTTCCTAGTTGTTTGTAAAAGTTAACATTATCTGTTCTTATAATTATTATTTTAAGTTCTTAGAATTTGACATTATATTTTTAGTTTTTATAACTTTTATTTTAAGTTGTAATTAGTGGGCATACGAAAACTAAATACAGGTTCACATTTAAATGGGAAAACTAAATACGAAAATTAGAATCCGAAAATTAAATAAATGGGAAAAACATAGCAATAGCAATATTAGGTCACATAGAAAAGGCAACTAGATTGTTCCACTGCTGCACCCGGTCATGATATAACGCATCCCAGCCCTCTACGCTTGCTGTACGAATGGTGTACCACGTTGGTATAATCGGTGGGACCGGAAAATCGGGTGACAGGTCCAGTCGGATGAAATGTCTGTATGACGGCCCCAGAAATCCAATAGCAACCTCTCTTACCGGTCTGGTGACGGTCTCACGCGAACACCAAGGCAGAACCGTGGTACACGGATAGTAAGCTCGAGCATGCAAACCAAGGCCGAAATGCATCACTGCACACTTGTAGATGTTTGCAACGGCGAAGAGATCAAGGGGCGCGTCGAACCAATGATTTTGACCGCAACGTCCTCCTCCCCACCGGATACGCTGCAGAGACCTATCCAAGTCCTGTCCGTACACGTGGCGATAAACAGCTCGGTTTGAGGCGATTTCACTGTACATCAACTGACGCACTAAACCGTAGTTGTCTTCACCCATCTGAAACACATCAGCCACAACCCGAAATCCACAGTTACCATCTGCAACCACATCATTCCACCCGTCCAGGAACGGCATCATGATGTTAGGGATCCTGTCTTTATATGGAAAATGTTCAATGTCCATTCTGCCTGTTGCACACATCAAAAAACACAATTAACAAGTCAGCAGAAAACTTGACAAACACTCTAAAAAGTAAATTAAACTAAAGTACCGTACCGGTGCCGGGCATATTCACCGGGCTGAACACTTGGGCCGATGTAATTTCTCAACTTCTCCAAAACCCAACGGTAACTCGCAACCGTCTCATCCTTCATAACTGCATAACCAATCAAAAAGTTCTGGTTCGTTGGAGTCATCCCAACCATCTCAACCAGTGGAAACTTATACTTGTTTGTCTTGTACGTTGAATCGATCAGAATCACAGATGGCCAAGACGAAATCATATCAGCACAATCAGGATGCACAAGGAACAAATGAGTCACCTCCGATGTGTCTTCATCAGATTCAAACCAGTACAGGTAACCACGTGCTTGTGCCTGGTGTAGAAGCTGCTGTATAGGGTTCCTTCCCTCTGACCGTTCAAACCTCAATTTATGTCTGACGTTGTAGATGTGTCTTCGGTTTGGCTGGTCTTCAGGAAATTTCTCCAACACAGATGCTAATATTTTAGCAGGCTTCACTTGAGCATCACTCATTTCTTTTACAATTAGTTTCGCAGCAGGACTTAGGCCACTTAACTGTCGATGACCCACTTCATATGCGATCATCTCATGGTTGTGATACCCCCATTTACCGTAACTCTTCACTTCCCAACCGTCACCCCTTTGCTGTTGTCGAACCTTTACTCTGAACTGACACCCACAACCTTTCCGCTTTGTATCAAACCGAATCGCTTGACTGAAATCTCGTTCCTCCCTTTTGCGATAACGGTCGCATCTCAAAATGCGATCCATTCTACCATCCCGTTGAGATTTATGAGTTGCTACTACTAAACAAAAACCTGATCTAATTGCAACCTGTTTCGCCCAATCAACCGCTTGTTGAGCATCTTCGAACAGACCATCGTGTACAAAAATCCCACTATAATCATTTCCGTCTCCACCATAATCCTGCAACAATAACATATAAATATAATCACATAAGAGTAGATTAAATTAATACATTTGACACAACATTAGCACAAAAGCAAAAACAATAATAAATTATAAACAACAAACAAAGAAATAAACAAAAAGTATTCAAAAAAAAAAAAAAAACAAAACACAAAAATAAAAAACATAAACAAAACTTTAGATTAAATAAATAAAAATAAACCAAAAAAAAAAAACAAAAAAAAACATAAAACGAAAAAAATTGTACAAAAAAAATAAAAAATAAATAAATTAAAAACAAAAACAAATTAAAACAATTAAAAACAAAACAAAAAAAAAAACAAAAAAAAAAGAAAAAAATTGTAACACAAAAAAAAAAAAATAAACAAATTTTAAATTAAATTAAAAAAAAAAAAAAAATAGTGGTGGCGCCTAGCCAGGACGCCGCCACCGTGGCGGTGGCGTCTAGCCAGGACGCCGCCACCGTGGCGGTGGCGCCTGGCCAGGACGCCGCCACCGTGGCGGCGGCGTCTTGGCCAGACGCCACGGCCACGGTGGCGGCGTCCTGGCCAGGCGCCAGAGTTACGGTGGCGGCGTCCTGGCTAGGCGCCACCACTACGGTCACGGCGTCCCGGCAGGACGCCAGCCGCCAATTCGTGGTTTTAGATGGCTTCGTACCTCCTTTTCCGGCGTCAACGGCGTCTCTCCGGTGCATCTACCCGACGTTGAGGGCTCTTCGGTTTCACTCGGCGATCCAGTCCTGCTCCACATTTTTTATGAGTGAAAAATTTTATTTTCGGTAAAAATTAAAACAAGGGCAATAATGTCAACATTTTTAAAAAATGTGGGCTTTATGTAGAAAAACGCGGGCGATGTTTAACAAATCCCTTCTTTTTTCAACAACTTCAAATTAATAGGCATTATTGGAACTCTGGAAGAATCATTTTTGTCTCACGACCCACTTACTTTTCTATTTCATATCAGTAATATGTCCCATTGGCTCACAACATATAATAAATTTATTAACTTTATATTATACAAGTCACCTTACAATTCTCATTCAACATTTTTTAGAAAACATCGAAGAGAACATGTCAATTAATCTTAACGAATATAGTACTTCGCGTCATTTAAAAACGGATCTATATAATATACTCAGAAAACAAACAAATTAAGCAATTGATGCACTAATCTACAAAGGGTGTGCCAAACATGGAGTAAAATATATATTATTCATAAAATTGTCAACAAAACTTTGGTCCACATTCTCGAATACTCCTTAACAATACCATTATACCAACATCATCATCAATAAACCAAAACTAAAATTCAACCAACCATCCAAACCTCCAATTCCACCCACAAAAAAAAAAAAAAAGAAGCAAAAAAAAAGAAAAAAAAAAAAAAGAAAGAAAGAAAAAAAAAGAGTTGCAAAAAAAAACCCTTGAATCTTTCTTTCATATCTTTCCATTTCCATCAATAGCAATGAAAGAAGAAGAGCAGATCCAACCCAAAAACCCACTCCCCCATTTCTGGGGCACAACCCCAGAAGAAGACTACTACACTCAACAAGGCATCAAATCAACCCAATCTTACTTCACCACACCTTCTGGTCTAACCCTCTTCACCAGATCATGGCACCCACTTTCTCTCTCTCCTCCACGTGGAATCATATGTATGGTCCATGGCTATGGCAATGACATCAGCTGGACCTTCCAATCCTCCCCTATTTTCCTTGCTCAAAATGGGTTTTCCTGTTTTGCCCTTGATTTACCTGGTCATGGTAAATCTGATGGCCTTAAAGCCTATGTTCCTGACATCAATTTGGTCATAAGTTGTTGTACCTCTTTTTTTGAGTCTGTGTTGGAAACCCGTTCGATGCGTAATCTGCCCGCTTTTCTCTTTGGAGAATCGATGGGCGGGGCGATATGCTTGTTGATCAGTATCATGTACCCTAACATGGGTTTCAGTGGCGCTGTTTTGATCGCACCCATGTGTAAAATCTCTAATAATGTCAGACCCAGATGGCCAATTCCTGAAATTCTGACATTTATTGGTAAATTTGTACCAACTTTGGCAATTGTACCTTCACCTGATTTGTTACATAAGTCTGTCAAAGTTCCTGAGAAGAAAGAAATTGCAATGATGAACCCTTTAAGGTATAACGGGAAGCCGAGATTAGGGACTGTCATTGAATTATTAAGGGTTACAGATTACTTGAGTCGAAAACTGAAAGATGTTACAATACCTTTTATTGTTCTACATGGACAGGCTGATGTTGTGACTGATCCGGATGTGAGCCGGGCTCTTTACGAGGCGGCCGCGAGTGAGGATAAGACCATCAAGATTTATGAAGGGATGGTGCATTCTATGTTGTTTGGGGAGACTGATGAAAATGTGGAGATTGTTAGGAATGATATTTTGTGTTGGTTGAATGATAGATGCAAAAGGGAAGATTGATGAGGTTGAACCGTTGACGTTATTAGAACATTGTTTTTTAAAAGTAATTGGTTTGTGAATGTAGCAAAATTGAACTGTAGTTACATTAAAATTGAGGTACAATGTGATATGTGTAATGTGTTAAGTTTGATGATGGATTAAAGAAAGAATTTGGAATGATTTGTGAAATTTTCTGAATCTCATGTTAACATGTTTCCTGATTATTTTTGTCTGCTGGGCATTATAGGCTATGACAAACAGTATTGGTTTCTTGTATATTACTAGAGCTGGGCATTAATTTTTTTTATTCTGCAGTATGTAAAACAATTCTTTTTTTTTTTTTTTATATATATATAATATACTGTTGTCAAATAAAAATATAAAAAATTCTTTTTTTTTATAACAAAAAAAAGGTCCTACCGAGATTTGAACTCGGGTTACTGGATTCAGAGTCCAATGTCCTAACCGCTAGACCATAGGACCAACTTATTAATATAAAGTATTAAAGTTCCAAATTGTTTATAACATATAAATTTAAAAAGTAAAAGAGCGAAAAATAGGTCCTACCGAGATTTGAACTCGGGTTACTGGATTCAGAGTCCAATGTCCTAACCGCTAGACCATAGGACCGAATTGCTAATTATTAACAAAGAAAATAATTTATTCATTTCGTCAACTAACATATGCCTTTTCCCTATTATATATATTCAATCACCCATGTCCCTTGATACTTTAGCATGACATTTTTAGTATGTACTTGTATAACCTTAAAATTAGATTTAGAACAAAGTACATTGATTATGAATTTAACATCTCACATGTTTTTCCTTACATGTGCAATAATAAATAATAATGATATAAAAATTATCAAAGACGAGTATGTTAGCTGTACAGAAAGTATGCAACTATGTATAGTTAGGTACTTAGGTTGATGTGTTATCTTATTTGATATGGACTTATATTTGCACATGATTATTCATCTTAAATGATTGTAATGATATACAAAGTATGCCTAGCTAGCTTATGGCATATAGCTTATAGTATCTCTTATGGATATAGTTTTGATGATTCGCAATTAATTTGAATTAAACTTATTAGAATGTAATATTATATTAATTTATCATAAGTTTATAACCTTTGTCCTTTAATTTAACTTCTTCAAACGCATTGTGGCATTGCCTTCATACTTAAACCAACTCATCCTTATTGGCCCTAAATTATACTCATCTAAATTTCATGTATTTCATTGAATTCGAATTGCTTTTATTACCCTAAACTTAACACATCTCTATGTCAAAAAACAAATCCTTAACACATCTAAACTTGATTTGAACTTAGCTAATCTAATGCGAACTTGTTATTACTAATAAAAAATTACAAATTGTTGGTCACGAGATTCCAGATTCCTCTATTAAATTTTTTGAAACCAGATTCCTCTATTAAATAATTGGATGTTAGCTCAACAATTCTGCAGGATGTAGCCGAAGAAGCATTAGACGCTTTACATCAAGGCCAAACGAAAAAACCAAATAACGAAAAAAAAGGTACTACCGAGATTTGGACTCGGGTTACTGGATTCAGAGTCCAATGTCCTGACCACTAGACCATAGGACCAGAATATTATTATTGATTTAAAATATTGAAAACTTGCTTCTCTGAATGTACAACTTTATATTACAAGTATCTTTGTAACTGTATGATAGGAAGCTAATTCACAATATTATCGTTTTTATATTTTTTAAATAAAAGAAATTTAAAACTATTGAAAAAAAGTATACATTTGTAAATAACTAGGTGGGGAGAAAATATATGAGAAAAGTCCTTTATTCTCTCAAATAAATCTTCACAATATAGGCACCAATTAGCTGATACAAAGAATCATTAATATATCAATTCCCATAGCATTGGCTAGAATCACACAAACTAGTTTTTTAACTGATTTCAAAATAAGGTTGCGTATTTTTGAACCTCCCCAAATCCCACCTCAACGAGCTTCATATCAAGCTGCTGTTGATGCTACTACTGGGAACTGGTCTTCTGATTGCCTTTTCCACAAAAAGTTGGCAGCTTCAATCCACCAAGGATTAACTAGAAACTTGCCCTCTTTGACTGCCCTACGAGACTTCTCTGTTGTGGCATCTTTTGACACACATGTGTTATGCTGGAGTCCAGTTCAGTTGAGCAGGTAGCTCCCAACTGTTCTGCCATCCTCCATAATGGCTGGTCAGCAGCTTGCGTTTTTTTCTCAAGCACCCAGCTGAACACTATCTTGCAATCTTTGAGGACTTCCTTCCGAATTATTCTCAGTAACTGCATGACCAATTTGATACAATTAGTATGTTTGTCTATTTGTCTGATTAAAACAGATATCAAACACACAAATGCAAAGATAGCAGGACCTAACCTCCCTCACATCTCTGGAAGCATAGTCATCTCCATGCTCCTATCAGGGGAGCACGAGTCAATACGAAAGCAGAACAAACAAGGCACTAGTATTATAGCCATGAAATAAAGAGTCAGGCTAGATATCTAAGATTGAGGTGAATAACAGCATTTGAAACGACAGCAATACCATTATTAAGTATTTTATACATTTTCTGAAGCAAAGATTGGAAATTAACTAACAGGATCAAAGAACTTGTAGTGTATACTCTTAAGGACTCTCAGAATTGCTGCAAGTGCTCCATCAGACTTGTTCTCGTCAAGCTTTAACTCAGCAAGAGACTTGTAATTGTTGCCTAATTGACGACAAGTATATGAAAAGAAGTGGTATCTTTCCATCAATATCAAATTGTCCTTGTGCCTCTCCCAGACCTAGAATGATACAAAAATGCAGACATATCCAACTTCAGAATTTAGTAGTACATTCTCGCAATGAAATGGAAGGATTTAGTAGATGTAAATATAATATCAGGAAAAACTCCATTGTCACGAAATCTTAGTGCTATCTCAATACAGAAGTTATACAGTGAGGAAAGACTGTCATCATTACTCATCTGTCCATCAACATGGAATACCATTTGTGACCTTTTTGACATTATGATCAACCTGAAGAGAAATTGCCTTTTCCATTAATTTATGATTTCCAAGAATTCCAACTCTCAAAACAAGGTCCACAACCTCAGAAAGTGGATGGATTGAGCACAAATGAAAAAGGCAGACACAACAACTTTCTAATGATCAAGTGCGAGCATACATGATTGTAAATAAGATGATGGTTTTTTATGTGCCTTGGCACAATTTAGACTAAAAAGTAGACATTACAGGCAAGAATAACCAATGTGTTCATTTCCCATAAATATGGCTGAACTTTTCCAATTTCAAAAATTATTTACTACTTCAGTCCTGATAAGAAAAAAAATAGGCAGTACAATTGCTTCCATGTTTAAACAAAAATGAGATCTCTAATTGTATATAATTATGATCCTTCCTTTACATTGAATAAGAACCACCTAAATGGTCAAATGTACGAGAAACACATGAATATAAAAAAAAATATATTTTAAAAAAAGTGTTCGAGAAAAACACTTGTATGAACATCTAATACGGAGTATATACTTATATACTGTTACAATTTAGAAACTTAAAAAGGATTAGACAAAATATATGCAGTATCAGTTACCAATTGAGTAAAGAAATCTCAGAATAAATTCTAATCACCAGAGAGTTTACTTACAGATTCTGTGTCATCAAGTAACAGAACAGCACTCTCAAACCCCAGTACCATGTCTAGTCCTTTCTGGTTTCTGTTTGTGCAATCAGCTCTGGAGATAACTTTTGAATCAAAATAGAGATTTCTGGGATCAAGAAGCTTTGCCATTTCGCGACCGTAAGCTGGCTCTCCCATGGTGTAAATGTACATCTCAAACATCTTGCTTGCTTCTTGCAGAAATTCACGGACAAAAGGCCTCAACTTGGTTATCATAGGCCTCGTATCAAATTGAAATAAGCTTCCATTTGAAGTATCTGTTATTGCTAAATATTAGTGCAAGGAAGAATAGAAAGTATACAAACCCTGATGGTTAAGAGTCGGGAGAGCTTAGTACATACTTAAAACATAAAGCAATACAAACTAGAATAAATCTGGACTCCACTAATTTTACACCTTTGGCTTAAACACCAGATGACAAATTCAATCATAATTCATAAAGTATAGAAGAATTAAAATATACTTGCTATAGATGAGACAAACAAACAAAAAAAATTAGAGAAACAGCAATTTGATGAGTGGTATCAAGCAAAACCCAAGATCAATTAATTCATCGTTAAAACAAGAATGACGTCACAAATTCACAAAACAAGGAACACAAATTCGAGTTTCTACCATAAATAATTTTAACGACATTGTAAACCGTAGAACTTTAAGTTCAAATGAAATAGAAACACAAAGTCAAGTTGTACTGTATCATTTTATTCCACAACCAATATAGTCTAAATGATAGAGTGATATACAATGAAAATTGTTCACAAAATTAAGTTTGAAAAATTAATCAGAAGCAGCAAAGCAGGTAATTAATCATGTAGGAATTTGAATAGAGCAACCTTTAATGGAACATGTTTGATTCATTAGATATGCCTCTTCCGGACTGAGAGAATCGAGATTAGCTGTATGCAGCAATGTCTGGTCCAAATCGAGAACCAGGAACAATTTTTTCTGACGTAGGACATTTCCTGCTTCAGCATTACGTAATCGAGAAATTTCTCTGCTGCCAAGCCTCAAATCCTGTAAATTGCAATTGGAAATTATACCAAAATCTTATCAGTCCTTCGAAAAGAGAATTTGACTGAACAAGCTTTGCAACTGCACTAACATCACAATGAAGATATAGCAAATTATCAATTGAATAACACAACAACAGTGACAGTTAAAAACTATCACAAGATGCAGACCCCTTCAGCCCACTCTCAAGTCTCAATCAACCACGGGTGATTTGAAGAAACAAGCTAGCCAGTTATGCAGCAAATAGTTGTAAAATCCTCGAGGTTGACAACTCGATAACTAATAAGCTTCAGTCTAGTTCTATCTTTTATTGAGCTAAACAAGAAGAGTTTGAGCACAATTGAGTTTAATTAATGACATAAAGCATACTGAACATATTACAAGCCGAAATTAGCACATGATAACTACATAAAAGACGAGAACCTACACATACCTTATGAATATATCTAAACGGAATACTATCTCCATCTCCATCACCAACCAATTTCCCACATTCTATGCACATATCCTTAAAAAAACCAGGATGTGCACACGAACTTGGCTCCTCGGCCACCTTACATTGCTTGATCCTTCCAACAAAAGCACTTATGTCAATGCCTATAACATTGTGTATATACTTCGTACATACTATTCTCCATAAAGTAATGATGTTACTACCAAAAAAGAAAAAAGGTAAATGACCTTTTTTTGTGGCATTACTCCATAAATCATGGTACATTTGCTAATACCAGACTATTATCATTTGACATCACAGAGAAAATTCAATGTTAATACTCCATAATTGTACATATGCAAAGTGTAAGTACATAAGTGTACTACATTACGACATTTATACAAAAACGTCACAATTCGATTTTAATGGGTTATATGTACACTAATTATGCTAAAAATTGTTGCATGAAAAACGAGTCTTTACACAATTCATACTCGTTGATCTTTTTTTCGCTTGAAAAGGTGGTCATTCTAAGATTCCAAACACCATAAACAAGAAACTTATTCATCAATGCATACATTTGAAGATCATTTTCCAAAACCTTATAATTTTATAAGTTTAGTTCTTGAAAATCCAAGCACAAAAAAAGCTACATTCAATCTTTCCATTTTCATTCCATCTTTCTCTGAAATCAAATTAGGGAAATATGTTTCTTCATCACAATGGTTTAATTGCATCAAAAATCAAGCTTTACAGGTTCAATTTCTACTTATATCAGTTCCAATTGAAATACATTATTGAAATATAAAAATTCAAAAATATGATCAAGAAAAAAAAAAAAAACATAAGAAGGGGACAGAATTAGGGTTTCCGAAATCAAGAACATGGAATTATTGTATCAATAAAGAATCAAAATTAAGATCAATAATTTGGATTAAATTATTGTAGTAAGTGAGATCCAATTATACCTGAGAGGTTCAGGTTGAATTTGGAGAGCCATCTCAATTCTCAGAGAGAGAAAAGAAAACACACTCAAGGAGAGGAGGTTTGGTTTGTTTATATAGAGAAAAGAAGATTTCGGCCTGACAGTAATTTATAAATGTGAATCATCTGGGAACATACAAAGGGCAAAATGGAGAAAACGTATTTTGTTTCACGACATTCTAGAATATTCGGCGGGTGTCTATTTGGCGTTTAATTTGAATTTGAGTCAAGCTAAATACAATTTGACTTTAAATTCAGTTTTGAGTTGTTGAGTCAAATCCGGTTTGAATTTTCTCGAATCCTATCCGAATTGGATCCAATCTGAAATTCAATGTAAAATGATATCTTATTTCAACTTTAATTAGGATAAAAATGGTTTAGTTATGTAAGCTTATTGTCTCGTCAAAAAAATGTAAGTTTAGTTATGTAAGCTTATTGTCTCATAAAAATTTAGGAAATCATTAAAATATAAACAATAATTGCACTAATTTACACGTGTTTTTATCATGAATTTCTAATTTTATACAATTTTCAAGAGTATATTTAATGCTTGTATATAACCCTTCGGACTATATATAACATTACCCTTTTTTTTAGGGTAGGGCTACATATAAGCATTAAATACACTCTTTGAAAATTGTATAAAATTAGCAATTCATGACAAAAACACGTGTAAATCAGTGCAATTAGTGTTTATATTTTAACGATTTCCTAAATTTTTACGATTTTCCACTGCGTATTTAATTCTTATATGTAGCCTTAAGGGCTATATATAGCATTTTCCTTTTTTTATATTCTAGAGAAAGGGGAAATTAATAACTTTGCAAGGAAATTAAACATCGTGGTCATAGAAACACCTTGCAAAAAAGAGAGAGGAATAGCTAAAGTGGTTAGAGCTTTCCTCCCGATTTTAGGAAATTCTAGGATCGATTCTCACCCCACTCTTGTGACTCTCTAAACACCTTGCGGAAAAGAGTTCAAGAACACTGGTTCTACACTTCTACCCCATGTATAGATAGGAACTAGTCTAGCCACTAAGTGTGCCACCGTACCTCTTAACGTGATTACAAGAAAAAGACTCAAACCCCCTCCCCTCCCCCCCCCCCCCCACACTAGCTCTAGAGCATGCACTCAAGCTCGACACACTGATAACCAAATCGTTGGGCAAGAAGAGACCCCAACCTTGCTGCCAATGCTTCTGCCTAGGGGTGTAAATGAGCTGATACGTTCGTAAACTACTCGCGAACAAACTCGGTTAAAGCTTGATCAAAACTCGTTTGTTAAGCTAACAAACAAGCTGGAACAAAAATCTTAAGCTCGAACAACATCATGTTCGACTCAGTAATGTTTATGAACAACTCGTTTAAATCCATTTATAAGTTTTTTTAATGTCCGATTAAAACTCGGACAATTTATATATCTTTTATTCATACATATTTATAAAAAGTACTAATTATTTCATCATGTAAAGGCATGAAAACTCCAGCAAGTTTTGTATGGACCGGGTCTACAATAAATTATTGTAGACCCAATAATTTGACACTCTCAAATAATATAGTCATATTCTGGATAATTTAATCACTTTTTTAGATGATGTAATTATCTTGTTGTGAGTCATATTTTGAATGATATAGTCGTATTTTAAACAATTTAGTCCGATGATATAATTATCTTTCGAATGATATAATTACTGTTTGATACTTTGTTTTTTAATGATAAGTTTACTTTTTGAATGATACATTTACATAATCAGTATCCGGATGATGTAATCACTTTTCAAATGATATAATCACATTTCGTATGATATAATCACATTTCAAATGATACACTAAATGATTGGGTGCACAATAAGATATTGTGTACCCGGTTTATTCTAGACTTTGTATGAAAACTCTGTTGTGTTAAAATTTGAAAGAAAACTTTTTTTTAATAACAAATAGGGCTCGTTTATTAAGTCAAGCCCGATTTAATCCCGTTCAAGCTCGAACTTAAACTCGAAATGCAAACGAGTACGTTCGTGAACAAAGCTTGATCAAGCCAAATTCTTAACGAGCCCAACTCGAACAAGATTTTTAAAAGTTCGTTCAAGCTCGAGATAGTTCGAACACGAATAATTCTTATCAAGTTTAGCTCGAACAGACTGAAACTCGGCTTGACTCGGATCGTTTACAACCCTAGTTCAGCCATTACCACAGGAGCACATGCCCCGGCTCTTATCATAATAATTATAAACGGAGTATAAATTTGAAATAATATCATGAACCGCATCATTGTTGCAATTAGTAGAAATCAAGATGCCAACATACTATAAATCCACAAAACCAAGAAACTAGGAAGCTTTTATTGATTTGTAACAAAGGACAGGTAATCCAATACTCCCAACGAACCACAACCTTCAGTCTTGAAACAGCAACAACTCTATATAAACAATAGCACGAAACCGGAATCCTGAAATAACCATGGGTCCATGGCAATGAAAGAATGCAACTTCTAACAAAGAGGAATATAATGTAGTAATAGACAAAAAATAGATTTCATTAAATGTAACTCCAAACTATCCCTGTGGTCCGAAACTAAACATGCTAAACTATGCTGCTATACAAGGCAAGTCTATCGCATGCTCACGAAAGCATGGTCATTTGACCAATCAACTGAAAAAAGAATCATTTCTATCCTGTACTATACCCTATATTCTTCAAGGAGCCAACTTTCTACTCTGTTCATTGATGTCATCTATTGTCAGGGGTTCTTGAAACTAAAAACGAATGCGCTGGTGTTAGCTGATCGACATGTACAAAATACCCAAACAACTCTACTGAAGTCATGCCATAAAAAGGTATGTCAAGTCCTCCACCGTAAGACGACTTTGGCGACTACCCTTTTCATCTTCTCCGAAAGCAGAAGCAACCAACTCTCTCTTCTTTTGCTGTACAAAAAAGATTATGGCATTAATAAAGGAATAACATTTAAGCATTTTACTCAACATGTCCAATGACTCATCTTGCAAAATAAAGTGAATAGAACTGAAATCTTCTCCCAATAAAGATCAGATGAAAAAAGATACCCTACATTGAAGCCAACCCCCAAGTATCAAATCCATATGTTAGCCTAGATAATCAATTGTTCCAAATAATCCAATATCAATGCTGAAACTAGAAGGTCAACCACAGATTTGTAACGCCTACCAGAACTATGTTAATGAATTTTATAATTAGATAAAATCGGGCATGTCATAGATGCAGAGAATGTAACAATCATAAAGGCAAAAAAATCCTCAGCCCCGCACAAGAGATTTTGGAGGCAACGTAGCTTTTAGCAGCCTAAGTACGGCACTGATGCATTTTATAAACAAATAATCAGCATGTCTCCAACTAATCAACCTCATATAAATATTAGTCTTTCAACTAGACGATGGCATGCAAGTGAACTCACCGTCACCGTGACCAAGCCTTTGCTCACAGAGAAGCAAGGGAATGTGGATAGAATAAAAAATTCTTAAGAGATCATTGCTTTGCAATTACAAATGGCTGGCAATGTAAAGGCTCCAAATGAGAATGAGATGGCTAAGTGTGCAAATCCAGATTGCATGGCACCCACCAATTTTTTGTTTTTTTATGTCAGATACATTTCCAGAAGTATCTTGAGGTACTGAAAACAAGAAAACTTACCACCAAGCCAATATTCATCTTCTAAAGCACATGAAAGAAGATGTGTGATCTAATCATTTAGCACATGTACATTTGTTGGTAACATTGAGTTCCCATATGAGCAAAATATACTGTAGGAAAATGCTTTTGCCCAAAGAAAAAACACCATACAGCCAGAAAAGACAACAGAGAAGACAGGGCAGGTAACAAAGAAAAATACAGCCAGAAAAATTTCAAGGAATGAATTATAATAGTAAAATAGAGTTGCTTTTTAGAATGCATCCACCGTAAATTGGTAAAAGAATTTTTTAAAAACAAAAAAAACTGAACATTCCGATTATGTCAGTGCAGATTCCTTTTGGAACACAAAATAAAATACCTGAAGGGCTAATATCCGATCTTCAACTGTATCCTTCACAGTCAGCCTCACGACAGTAACAGGACGAGTTTGCCCAATACGATGCGCTCTGTCAATTGCTTGGTCCTCAGTAGTAGGATTCCACCAAAGATCCAGAAGAATAACATGACAAGCTGCCACCATATTTAGCCCAAGACTTGCTGCCTTTAATGACATTATCATAACAGATACCTGCAAATATTGACAAAATAATATATTACAGATTGAACCCAGAAATAACTCAACCCCAATAATTCAGAATCTAGTAGAGAGAGATTCCGGCGTCCCGCTGACTGTTGATGATTAAGAGTTACTGACTATACATGTGATTATACGATTCATTTCCACAAATGACGAAAAGGAAAAGTTCTTACAATTGCACTAAAAGAGCATAAAACCAATTCAATTTTGGGTCGGTTACTTTATAAGAAATTTATTTTCAATTTGAAGCTAAAAAGTCTGCAATTTTTGAAATGGACAAAAAAGACAGAATTGAGAGAGCATTTAAAAAATAGGAGATCCAGATAGTTGCAAACCTCTGGAAGAGTGTTAAAATCTCGCACAGCTTTATCACGGGCAGCAACAGACATAGTTCCATCTAACCTCCTGTACTGTATAGAAGATTCCTTCAGACAATCTTCAAGCAGATCCAACATCCTAGTCCACTGAGAGAAAACAATTGCTTTCTCCTTTATGACAGAATTGCAATTACCCAAACCATTGGTAGCACTAGAGATTTCATTATAAGTGGCAAAGGGTGCAGAATTGGATTTGTCCAAGAGACTGGTATCAGTAACAGGTTGGCTTGGAACATCACTAGGAACAGAAACATGGGGTTTTGAAAGTGAATTTAAAACTTCCAAAGCTGCCTTAATTTTGGATGATTCAAATCGGCCAGGTGGTCCAGGTTGAATCAACTCTTTTTGTTCTGAGGATTCAGCACCAGGACAAATATGAGAGCCTTCCTGACAATCCTGATCAGACAGGCAGCTGTTCAGTGTGCCTTTAGAGAAGACATTGGAGGCACTGAGCTCTGATTTGCAACTTGCAGAGGGACACACGTTGTCATCAGCTGTAAAACGCTCAGAAATACACTGATTGCAGAATACATGGCCACAGATACTGACAACAGCATCCTCAGGTGGATCCTGCAGATTTTTCAATAATTGGCGTCATCAACAACTAAAATTTTGTCAAGCACTTGATTTAAACATGAAAAACTACTGCGCAACAAATTCAAAATGCAGAAAATCTACATAAACCATTTTAAATTAGTCTAATATAACCAATAGTAAACAGAATAGTGGATCTGTCAGCTACATTGGAAAATAACCGTTGAAATTGAAAATGGTTTTTTTTTAAAAAAGGTATTCAGGATTGGGAATGAAGATACACCTAAAAAATTATATGTAATAGGCGAATTTCTATGCCAAAAAACTTGATCATTGACCATATAAATCAAGATATAACACGACATATCACAGAAATTTTATATCAACAAAGAGCTTTGACTCTAAGAACACAATAAGTATTAATCAATCTAAGCCCATAAAGAGCAAATAGCACATCAATTTCTGTCTGTAAAAAGGCATACATCCAATATGTGCTTAGCTTTTAGTATCTTTCTCCCCTATCCCGTTTCCATTTCCAGTCTTAAGTTTATTCTTTGTTACCTTGCAAAAAACTTACTCATCAATCTCATATCTGATAAAATGGGTTACATAACTTGAGGAAGTTCACTAAGTATGGCATGCATAGTAAAAATCCCTCTCTCACTTCCTCTCTTTCTCTCACACACACACATAATTGGGTTCGGGCAGGCATCTAAGTAAGGGTGCAGTATGGAGGGTAAGCTACGGTAAATTTGAAAACACAAGCAATGGAGGCGAACAATTAGCAATCTAACCAATGCTTGTGCTCTCAGATATTTGAGGACTTCACAATACCGCTCAAACTATTATCATCTGACAATTGTCATACTACACAAGTAGAAAAAGATAGACAACAAAAGTTAATAAATACCCTGCATATGCCACAAATTGCTTGTGACGCTTCCAAACAACTCAAAAGAGACATCTGTCGATCTCGAGGAAGCTTCTTTGCTGTATGAATGGAAGACTTCAAAACGGAGCTAGAATCATAACCCTTAACAAGAAAGGGATGATCACATGCTTGTCGAAGCCGTAAGAGCATTAACAATATGTTAACATAATTTTGTTTAACAGTTCCAGAGTCAGCATAAGCCTGAAATCAAAATTCATTATTACAAAAATGGATAACAGCAACGCAGAATACTGAAACATACAAAGATAAAAAGGCTAAAGCATATGCAGCAACAATTTTTTGATAATAACACTAACATCTTCAATTTTCTATTACTACGAGTAGGCAAAAAAGACACTTTTATACTTGCAATAGAAAAAATAATAGGCCCTATGCTACTTCTAGGAAAATGCTTGATGAAGGTATGCTCCCCCCCCCCCCCTCCCCTACTTCTTCGCTTGCAAAAGGCTATAAATACAATTAACACAATCAGAGCAGATAAATGGTTTTCAGATAGTCCAAAAATTATCTCATTGCATGAAGAAATAATCCCACAACATATCAGAACCAAAAGCCCTCCCTCTATCAAGACTACAAAAAGGTGTGCTGCTCACACGATGAATAATAATCCAAGAGAGTGCTTGAAGCATGAAAACACTCAGAAGAGCAATGCTTCAAAAAGACTATGCAAAAGAGCACTGCTCAAACTAGGAATGCACATCTCTCATTCATAAAATAACTTGCTTCGTATATAACAAACTTGCCAGCATATTAAAGAAGAGCTCAAGGTTAGCCTAAAGAGTTTATTTGATGTTTATTAACCATCAATGCTGATATTCAACCACTAAAAACTTAAGGACAGTAGTCACAATGCCCATAATTATGACTAATGAAACTAGCAACAACTGGAAAGAATCTTGATTCCTGTGACCATGCCAAGTCAAATTAACTTTACAAATAAAGTTTAAAGTTCAAACTTCAAAAGACCGAGGCAAGGCTCCATTTAAAGATTCTAGTGTTAATGAAATTAAGGGCCTTTAAGAGTTTAAGGCATAGCCTTTTTCTCTTAAAATTAACCACCTTATAAAATTTTAAAATCCACATCTTGAAATCAACCACCTTGTAAAATATTTTTCTAAAGTTAACATCATCTGGTAAAAGAATCCATCTAACTTTTATGTCAAAAATACTACGTAGTAATATAGTCTATCACTCTCTCTTAGATTCTTCTCAGAGCAATGGTCAAAAACTAAAATTGAACTTTGTCCTTCATCAATAATTAATGAGCAAATTTTTTTTATTTGGTATTCCAAGGATTTCAATATCTCGAGAGAATGAGATTAGGGCATGACCTCTTATTAATATTATTTAACATCAAATTTGTCATCGACATATGATTGGTATTAAATAAATTGCTGCACACTACTCAATCAATATAGGCTTTTTTGTTGTAGAATCACAATTCAAAGTGAAACAAGAATAAAACTCAGGGGAAGAAAACAAAAGGAGCTATCTGACGGAAACTTAAAAGCAGTCCATTACAACATAGTTTAGACTTATAATATGGTGGTCTTAGACCAAAAATAAATAAATATATATAAGGTGGTAATTATGAAATGCAGATTTTAAAAGGCTGTTTTTCCCAAATTTTTCACAGCTTAGACTGATTTACCAAGACAATAAAGACAATTACTATAATTCTACGATTGCCAACATGCCTGCATTTCTCCATGGTTAAAAACAACTTAGTTTTAAAATCAATCAGTTTTCTTAAAACGAACAATTCAATATTAGGTGATACCTTAATAGTTTTATATTTTGCGTAACACTGAAAAACACGAAATGGTGTATCATATGAAGCTATATATGCGAAAGAAGAGTTTCCTAAGCAAAAGCAAACTGGTAAAAAGCAACAAACTTGTGTTTTTATATGTTAGACAGTAGACAAAAAAATTAGCATAAGTAGAGCTCTGAGATTAAGCTTACTTGAAATTGGGCCCGAGAATCAGCCTCCAGCTTGCTATAAAATTCCCTTTCCTCTTCTGAAAATTCCACTTTCTTCAGCTTTACAGATTTAGGTGGCAAGTTTATAATTGGTTTCCCATCAAGAAGTGTACCTAGAGAATATAATGGACAATACAAGATGCTCAGCTATACACAAGCGAGGATTACAATCAAAACTGTAACAACAACAAAGCCTTAGTCCCAAAATGATTTGGGGTCGGCTAACATGAATCGTCATAAAGATATAGAAACCGTACAATCAGAACTGTACAGGAAGTAATTATTCAGAATCTTGCTAGTCCCTTGATACAAATTCATGTTAATTGTGAAATATACTCGCAATTAATATTACTCAACACACACACAGAGCTGTGAAGTATACTCTCTATCCTTTCTAATGCAGTACCCTGTAATGTTTAACTCAATTCTTGCTACATTTTTAAAAAAAAAAATCTTCACTTTCTATTTCCTTTTTTTTTTAACTCTATGCACTTTCCATGTAATTCCTTTTTTAAAATCTACTCACTTTTACTTAATTCACAGTTTGGTAAAAAACCTCCTTCTACCCTCCAACGTCACACCGAGGGATCACATAAACCCACTAACCATTTTCCTCAATCTTAAGTACTTTTATATTTTTATCCATCACTCCCCCACCATACCGACGGACCCTGCCATTTTTGGTTTATTCTAAATTGCATTGGTCTTTGGATTACTAAGTACAAGTGTACAACAGCGGAAAACAAAGGGAGGACATGGGAAATAAGAAAGTAGTAGCTTAAAGAATTTGAAAAAAAAAAAAAAAGAAAAGAAAAGCCAAGATAGGGGAGGAAAAAGATATGCAGCATTAGATAATCCCTCTTTAGTTACATTTCTCTTTTCGCTTAGACCATGACAATTGACAAAAGCAAGAGAGAGGAAGTGATGAGCAAAAGAGAAAATATTTGGGGTGGATGATGACAAAAGAGGGTAATGGTGGGCCCAACTGAGGGGTAATAAAGAGGTGCAGCACAAATCATGAAACAGAAACATAGCAGCAAGTAGTTTGAAAAAATTTCCCATGAAGGAAATTGTAACATCAGTGAGAAAAAATTGACTGATGAGCATTTTCGAGCCATTACACTTATTTACTCAAGCTCTCCTGCTACAAATTGACAGTCTGACCCCCCCACCCCTCCCCTCTCTCTTCTTTCGGTATCCCATTGGGCTTAAGAACTTATTTTTTATTGTGGCAGATAACAGCCAGCACATGCACCTCTAATCTAAGGTTAGAGGTCATACATTTGAGTGACGGATTACCCCGCCGCCACCCACACCCAAAATTGTGGTTAATCAATAACTTCACGATATTCTTACATGCAAGTTCAACATAAATAAAATTAATCCGAATTGCCACATATTCTATTTCTATTAAATATGCATATACAGACTTTAGATAACTGACTGAATGTTGCATCAGGAACAAATATTCAAGAGAAAGTAGAATAAAAAAGTATACAGAGTACATAAACGCCAAACTTTCTTTCTAAACCAGGCAGCAGCTATGTGAAGAAAGACTAAATAATACTTCCTCCATTTTTTAAATAATAGCAACACACCTTATTGGCACATGATTTGAGGAAGTGATTAAAAAAGATAAAATGGACAAATTAATCTAAAATTTTTAACGTAACGACTTAACACTTATTTCTAACCAGTGGTAAAAATAATTTAATTAATTTGTCTGTTTACTTTATCTTATTTCTTTCTAACATTTCGTGCCAAAATGGTATGTTGCAAATAAAGAAACGGCAGAAGTCCGTCATTCAAAAGAGCTACTACCTATTCCATTCTAATTAAAAAAAAGACAGAAGTGAAATTAAAGATAAATTTTTTAACATAATCAATATACATGAAGGCTAACCTTTTGTGCGGCGCAACATTATATTCTTTAAGACAGCCTGCAGCTTCTGGTACCCTCTTGTCGGATTTTTACTGATTTGGAACTTAACCATGGAGCAGAACGAATTATACACAGAATAAGGATCATATTTGAGAAATCTGAAATAACTGTAGAGATCATCTACTGCATTTTGTATAGGTGTCCCAGACAAGCACCACCGACGTTTTGCACGAAGACCCCAGCAGGCCTGGGCTACTCTAGTCCGGTGATTCTTGATGCTCTGTGCCTCGTCAAGAACAACTCTAAACCATCCAACCCTTGCAAGAGGATGAACAACAGATTCAACCAATGAATTGTCTGTTCCTCTCTTGGAGCGTTTTTTATCAGATGTTGAAGATTGCTTTCTCTTCCTATTAAATTGAGAGGATGCATCTTCCACCTCTGATTTTCGTCCATCACTACCATTCTTAAGGACCACAGGCTGCTTTGGGACCTCCATGCTTACGATTGAATAAGTTGTAAGAACTACATCATATTTGGCCAGTTCATAGGGATCCTTTGTCCGGTTACTCCCATGGTAAACATACACAGAAAGATTGGCCTTACTAGTTACCTTATTGGCAAGCTCCTCAGCCCACTGCCTGAGGACACTAGTAGGACACACTACAAGGGTTCCAGCAGCAGGTCTCCCCTTAACTGAAGAAGACATTATACTATTCCCCTTTTTCTTGTCATCGTCCTCATCCAAATCCAATGTTTCAGGCTCACCTTGTTCCTTTACTTTCAATGTCCCAGCAGATACAGGTCTTTCTGTAAGAATTAAAGCGATAGTCGATACTGTTTTCCCCAGCCCCTGGTTAACATATAGATAAATTTTCAAAAAAATGGCTCATAACTGCCAAAAAACTGGCGCATATATTATCTTCAACTGCCATCCATAGAAACCAAGGAATAGTACCTGATCATCTGCCAAAATTCCTCCAGAGCAATGCAAGCTATTTGTTTCTTTTTGCACCATCCATGACAAAGCAATTCGCTGCAGGGGAACACACCATTATAACCAATTAACCATATTACAAACAATTATAAAATAAAAAGGAAAAAAAAAAAAGGAGGGGGGAAAACAAGAGAAAGATAACCACTAAAGTAGGAAACAACTAAGCCGTAAGCAGCAGATAAATCTTTTAAAACTAATCTTAACCATAAGTTAACATGATAAAGAGCAAGATAGTAGCCGAGTGAATATTATTGCAATTAGTTTTGTCATTCTTATCGAAGTATACTTTGTATATACGTTGTTTTGTATATGTTTCTGTTTTGAATTAGTTTTTAAAAATTGAAAGGGAAAAAAAAGAGATAAAAAATTGAAAATTATAAAATAGTCATATGGGATCGTGTTAGATTTGTCTCAATTTTTAGTTTCCAAATATATAATTTTTACAACATTGCATTGAAAAGTGTGTAAAAAAAACAGATAGGATAAAAGAAAAACCGAGGGAGTATTATCAGATAGTCAAAAAAGGCTTTAGCTAAGATACACAATCTATAAGCTATTGCATATCAACAAATATAAAATATATTCCACCTCAATCACATCTTAACCTTCCCGGCTGATGTAACACATGTTAGATGTAGAGTTTACAAAATCTAATAAAATAAGTGCAGACAGTTTTTTTTTTTCAAAAAAAAAAAAAAAAAAAAAAAAGAAAAACATTGCAACCCAGGGGAATTAGGAAGCCCAAAAGTGAAATGAGGGAAGATAACACATCTCTCAGGTCGTTAGGTATCATGCAGAGCTCTATGGTAAATTTTTCCAAACTTTCATATATTAACTGCTGAGGAGATGGTCCTTTGAAACTCATGTAAACAATTAAACATATTTCAAAGTTTCGATAAAGACATAATGAAAACTCTAACCTGGTGTCTCAGAAGAGGTACTGCTAAAGAGCCTTCTGGAGCGGATGCCTCTGACTTTGGTTGTGAGAGATCCTGTGGCATAAGTTGGGAAAGGTAGACAATAAAAAAAAAAAAAAAAAATCAAATCCTGCTATTTTAGCAAGGATGTGCAAAATTAATGAAAAGCAGCATGCAAACAAAGTATATTAACAGCATTCAATTGTGGACATTAGGGGGGGAGAAACAATAATCTAAATTTTGTTTTTAGTCAGGCTTTTCATTTGCTGCAAAAGTGTGCCCAGGCTAACAAATCCTATCAAAGTTATGCACAGAACAAATAACCATATTTACACATATATCCACAGACGACGGCTACTGAAAACAAAATAAATAAACAAGTAAATAATAAAATTAAAAAAAAAAAAAAAAAAAAAAAACAGAGACTAATACAACAAGAAATAAATTGATGATTTCAAATTAGAAATTCATGTAATTGGGGATTTCATGACTTAAATAAACCAAAGCAATTAAACAATGCGGATTTCGTCAATCCATCCAAACAGATAATCATCTTGAGGTAATCCAAAGCAGACAATAACCCAAGAAACAATCAGCATCCTGAGGTAAACAATATGGGGCACTAATTTCTATCCATATTGAAGATTACATCAGTCTCATAGCAAACAGGAGAGAGTCAGAAAAAGGCAGAAATTACCTGCACTAATGATTGAAAAATTAACCGTTCATCACTTGCCCTCGACTTTGTTCCACTAGGAACTATTTGATGAAAAGGTGTGATGGATGTTGAACACTGTGAAGTAAATGATGTGGGATGTGGGATGACAGACTTTCCATGTACAGAATAAGGGTGTATCCGTGCTGGCTCACTCATATTTTCAATTATGCACAAATCATTGCCATCATCAATGTCACTTCGTCCTTCTGACAAACAAGTTTGGCTTGCCTCCAGAGTGCCTTCCAATAGATTAGGCTTTAAAGTGACAGGCCAAACCTTAGCAACCTCTCCTCCAGTGTTGTAATAAGAACTGTTAATTTTGGCAAATAGATCTGCATGATACATTGGATCATCAAAAGGATGCACCTTCCTAGGCTTCCTTATATCTCCAACACTAGAGAGGTTGTGACATTTAACAGCGGGATCACCAGCTACAAAACCAGAGTACTGAGCTTCAGCAGAGCTGAGGAGCTTCCCAGAACCAGAACCAAACGAAAAACCACTTGATGGACCTTTGCTTGCTTCAGAAGGCTTGCACTCAAAGCCATTGCTTGTAAGTATTTTGTCGTTCACTTCATCCTTCGTAACAGCTGTTTGATTCAGACATGACTTGTCCATCTGCCTCCAATAAAAAGGCTCAGCTGAAGTCTCATCAGTAGTCGTGCTACTACTACTATTATCAAAAGTATTCACGGTGTCAACATGCTGAACAGGGCGATTACTATAGAAGACTGATTCAGGCTCCTTGCCGTCAAAAAAATCATACATACGGACTTCTGAAACGGTGACATCCCCAGCTCCAACTTGAGCTTCTAAGGCTATTTTAGTATCCGACCATGGATGTGATGACCGAGAATCACCTAAATCACTCTTCACGTTAGCCCTCGTTGCTAAGTTTGTTGACATCATGTCATAGTTTACACCACCAAGGGAATTCTGATCAGGGAAGCCCGAAGACATTTTATATATGCTGTACCAATCCTGTGCAGCAATAGGAAAGCTCTCTGTCTCAACAAAGGTGGGCAATTGACTAGTATTAGCTACTGTAATATCTTTTCTGAATGAAGTGTCATTAGCTTCACTTAGTACCATCTCAGGAGGAGACGAATATGGAAGTTGCTCCAAAGCCTCCACTGTATCAGCACTATTTTCACTTGCGGCACCATAATCTACACAATCAAACTTCATTAGTATGATTGGTTAATTGAAATTACATCACTATTAAACATAAAAACAAAATAAAACCAGTCAAAACCTTAATTTGAAATATCTACCATCCTCCAGCAGTTCTTAAAAACAAAAACAACAACAAAAAACACACAGAGAAATTTGCAGGGGACCACTTAATATATTTAGCATTTTGTAAAAGGCACCTAATGTTATTATCATTCTCAAACCACCTTATACTTTACTTTAGCGATTTGTCTGGTAGAATTATGACGTGAACAAAAATAAATACCCTTTGTGTGGTTCTGTCCAAACCATGATTTAGAGACACAAATTATACCCATGCCCTGCAATAGATAACACCCTTCCCAATTTTGGTTGTCCCAACATACATTGCAAAAAAATCTTAAAATATGGATCCATCAACTCCAAACACATCTATTTTTTCACTCTCCTGATAGAGATTATCCACAATGGCACAACCTCCAATCACAACAACCCTTTTCACTCTCCTCAATTTAAGATTTCCTGTTATCTCCTGGGTACTTTTATCTATTGCAAGATGGAAGAAGTAGTTCCACTGGACAACTAAGCATTTAGAGCATATAAAGTCTATCAAACCATGATTCCAGTAAAATAACTTGAAATGAACAAATTATAGAACTTCATGAGAAATTCTAGGCATGTAAACTTTTTACAGTAAAAACAAGTATGTTCCTAAGATAAGAAACAGGAAAGATGTTCCTAAGATAAGAAACAGGAAAGCTGATTTGTTTGTGTGTGTGTGTGTGTGTGTGCGTGTATGCATGTCAAAATACATTAATTGATTAGAAAGATTTTCCAAATATATCCCTAAAAATACTGTGGCATTTGCCATATAATCAACAACCACACAATAGCAACCTAAATCACACTTAGTCTGACCAAAAGACGTCAAGATAAAGGTAAAGCAATAATGTATCAACTTCAACAAGATTACAATTTACACAGCACTAGAGAAGTAGAGAGTTTACAAACTTGTATTAACAGTCATCACCCCTAATACAAAAGACCATGTAACCCCGTAATCATTGATCATGTCCTCCTTTGAACAGGGAAAAAAAAAGGTCATGGGAACATAGAAATGAATGAGAAGGGAGGGAGTTATTTGCCTCTTCTGGTGAAATTATTTCTTTTGTTCAAGGGAAAGAAAAGGTTGATCCAAAATGGATTCTGAATAAGGATACTCTAAGAAATTTTCGAAATATAAATTTAATAGATAAACATTTCAAACAAAGAAAGCATCCATGCCATGACAAATCAAAGTAGAACATTTGTCCAGATCCAATCTGAGTATTCACCGGGTCAAAATTGCGAAAACTGCTGGTCAGAATAGATGTTGACCATTTAAAGGGGCCATTGCATTACTTCTTTGAAATGGTGGAGATTATTAATCACAACATGCTTGAAAAGAAAGAAACAAATGAGAAATTTGCATACAAGTCGAATAACTGACCTGTTAATACATCCATACGATCATTGGCAAGAATAGCTGAACCACTTTCCTGGGTATTATCAGTTGATGGGTAAAATGGATCCACCTGCATAGTAGCTCGCGGTTTAATTAAATGTCTATCAGAAGGAGGTGGTTGCTCCAAAGAAATTTAAAAAATAAATAAATAAATAACTTGAAAAAAAATTGTCATTAACCTAGATAGCATATCAAACAACATAAATTGGAGAGAGTAATGAAGGGATCTTTAACAGAAACTACTTTGGTTTTGAAAAAGCAGGTGTACACTTTTAACATTAGAATTCTCCAAAAAAAAAACACCAAATTTTAAACTGCTGTTGCCCAAAATTAAGACACATTTTCTCCCAAACCAAAATTCAAAGTTCGCTATATTTGACACTAAATAATAAAAATGGTATATTGATGCAAAACATGCAAATATACTATGAGTTCCTTTAGAAACAATATTTCAAGAGAGCTATAGTACTAATTTTAAATACTAAACTATAAAAGCAAACCACCCAAACTGTCAAAGTGTGGCTTTATTAGCCACAAAAAAATTAAAGGTTACATTCAAATCTGGATAAAGTAATTAGTTGCAAGTACAACTCGGAGCAACTTGTGACAGCATTATACGTTTATTAGTTAGTTTCAATTGACTTTTTACAAAAAAAAAAATTCCTCTTTAGTAATTATTCGTTTATTAGTTAGTAATTTCATACAATCATTAGGTAAAAGTGAGCCTAGAGTAGCACATCGAAATTGATTATAAACAGATAAATTAGCCATTAGATATCAATACCAATCTACTAATGTCAAATTCTATTATGTACTTTATTGTAATAAATTGCCTGTCATAAACTTCCTCTGATGTTTTTAAAATTGATCCAGCATTATTCACATACTCTCCTCTCCAGGGATCATGAAGAAATGTAAAATTGGTCTCAAAAAGTACTACCAAAACACCAGACTTTCATATACAGTACTTTATTCATTGGGAATTACTAATTATAATGGTTAAAGCTATGCATCAGCAAAAGTGATGATTGAAAAAGGTTAAGTATATCATTACTCACCTATCTGATAATGTTTTAAACAAGGGCTATCAAATCTTTTTCTTCAGCTCCTTGATTAGTGTATAAGTTAAAATATCAGATTCCAAACAATAATAATCCCCATCAGCAAATCCCCTCAGTGCAAAAAATATATTCCAGAGTGACCTTAATTTCCCTGTCTCGATGTCTCAATCCTACACTCCCCAGCAGCACTAGTATGCAATATCCTAATATCCTTCACCACAAGACTGCACTGCTATCAATGACTAAAATCTATACCAGGCCTAAATGTTATACTGTGTGTTTAGGCCATTCGTGGACAAGTTGATCACCACCGTGGCTAGATCTGACCACAATAATGTCAATTCAACCTCCTGCTTGGCTGATCTAAATGCTTAAATAATTACAAATTGATTCACATTACGACCTCATAACAAATGCATAAATCAATCTCATGTAATGACAAAAAGCCTAACACATCTAAGGCCCCCTTCACTTGTTGAACTTCAATTATTTTTGTTTTGTTGTACTTCATTTCTAACGAACTTAAATAATTTTAACAACATAATACTTATTTTCACTGATTCATTACTACTTCAATTCTAAATTGATTGACACGATTTGATTATTTGTACTATTCATGTATTAACTTTGTCTATAGTTTTTAACTAGTGTATTTATAAAAATTAAAATTAAAATTAAAAAATAAAAAATAAAATTCTATATATATTATCAAGTATATGTATTATATTAAAGTTTTGTTATTAACTTTTAAATAGTTTTAATTAATACTTAATTATCTATATAATGGTCAATCTTGGCAAGTGTGTCAAGTTATTAGTATAATATTTGTTCATTCAACTTAACTTATTTTGGCTAAAATTAACTTAATTTACTTAACTTAAATTATTATTATTGAACTTAACTTATTTGCATCGAGTATTGTTGAACTTCATGTTATAGATTGTTGTCAGATGGTAGGAAATAATAGCATTGTTCTACTTTAACTAGAAATCTGCTTATATTCTAAATTAATTGGAACGTATCAAATCTTATTGATACTGTGAGTTGAATTTGGGTAACCTTATCTGCAATTCTAATAATTCATTTAAACATATTAGAGCTTATCTATATCTAATTTTCTAAGAAATTTTCTAAGAAATTTTTACAAATTGAAAGGAAAAGGGTCATATATTAAAGCCTTATCAATCAGGGTACATCACACCATAGAGGCATAATTAAAGGGCCAAGGTTCCCTATCTACTCTCCAACACAGCCCTAGGTTGAATCCTTAAAGAAGCACTAAATATAATAATTTGTATTCCCTTCATTTTAAAATAGTTGTCACTTTGCTTCGATTGCCAAAGTTTGCTCACTTCTTATTAAAAAAAAAAAATTAAATAAAAACGTACTCTCTGTTTCTTTTTGTTAAAAAATGATTAAAGTTTTACACGGTTTCCAACACACACAGAAAGCATAAATTTCTTCCAATATGAATTATTGCCCCCACAAATAACTTCACATTATACTTAAGCCCGTAGTTTTAGGAGAGTGTTGATGGTGGTACTATGTTAAGTATAAGTCAATTAAAATTGGTAATCGATTAAAATTGGTAGTCAATATTCGTTATTACTTTTCAACATAGAGATGAGAAAAAGTGGAGACCATGATGCTTTAGGGGAGTACAAAGAAGATGAAAGTTAAAAGATGAGAAGAGGAAAAGAATATATCATTGAATACCCAAAAAGGGTCACCCCAAGAAATAATAATTGATATAACGTAGCTGCAATTAATACAATATTTATCCAGCAACAAATGAAGACATGGTTTTCATATCACCAAAAAGTGCCATGTAAAATCAATCCCTGTACCTACAATAATCTCCTCAGCTTAAGCTAAAACACTGGCTAAAATAGGCAATAAAAGAGTCTTGTCAAACATAAGGGGCTTCCACAATGCTGAAGGTGACAACAAGCCTGTTTCTAGAGTTGAGAAATCTGAAGGATATTCGAGAGCAGAATGGTGAAAGGCAGTAGCCAGGAAAATGACATGCGTGTGCCATTGTTCAGAAATTTACTAGAAGGGGATCACCAAGAAAAGATCCTGCAATCTTTTATGTAAAAATTAAACTACTCCGTACTAAATGTTTGTGATTATAATATTGAAAACATCTGATACATATATTTTGAAACAGGGAAATATGAAAATTACTTTTTGACACTTGGATTCGCATCACTATTGAAACAAGTAATGTGGCGACACCAAAAATATGATCATTGCTTCTCTTGAATAAAATTAGAAAGTAATCTTAATTAGCTGTGGGAATAGACGAGGACTTGTTCGCTGGATAAGGAAAGTTTCTGAATAACAATTATTTCCCTCCCCTAAAGAAGAAAGGAGAAGAAAGAAGATTTTAAATTCTCCTAAAATTAACAACACTACATTGTACAATCGAGATTGCAGCAAAGATCATAAGTTTGTAAAAGTCTACTGATCGATTACTGCATATCATCAGATATTTTTTATAAGCCCACTTAATCTTCCAGTTATTCTACTAAATTCAGTAAGGCCATAGCACTTACTACATCCTTAAGTAAAAGTCTTCTCCTCTCTAAACCATCATGCCACGAAACACTCGCCTTCTCTGATGATGAAGAGGAAACTTAAAATGGCTTAAGCTTTATAACAGGCATGATCCTTGTGCCCCCAATCACTTCAAATTGAAATCACCCAAGATTATTGCACGATTTGCACCTCCACTAATCATATTCACACAACTTTTACATGGACACTGATCACAAACCAGTCTTCAGCAGCTCTCTCATTCAATCAACTCAATATCACCTTTTTAGAAGCTCATATGACAGATCATAAAGTATTCTCACCCGAATCACATATCACAGGGCGAATGCTCCACACGAATACTTAGTCGTTCCACGAAAAGTCCACAAATCCATTTACCCTCACCTTAACCGCATTCCAAATAATCTAACACACCCACCAAAATTCTCATACCTATATCTCTTACAAATTCTCCCACTACATCAAACCCTCCAAAAAAAACAAACTTTTTCGATTCATACTCAAAACCAAGCAACATCAAACACTAATAGCAAAAAAACACAACAAAAACATAATTTCTTCTAATTACAACCAAACACAACTATAATTCTCTAAAATTAAGTTCTCTAGAGTCCAAATCCCACAAAATTAATCAAATCAAACAAACAAAAAACCCGAAAACTCGAAAAAGAAAAAAGAAAAAAAAAACGTACCGGAAAAGGAAGATGATCGGAATTATCATCTTCATCAAGAATACTAAAGAAAGCATCAGCATCAATAGCAAAATCATCATCATCATTCCCACCACCACCGACAACACCACCGGCGCCGCCATGAGAGAAATCATTGAAACTGTTATTCATCAACCCAAAATTAAAACCCTCTTGCTGCCCTGCTGCCGCCATCATCATCGGAAAATCATACAACAAAATTCTCCGACTCAAATCCGATCAATTAATCAATGAAAAATCCCCAAAAAAAAGTAACAAAAATTGATGATCATGAACAAAATTGATTAATCGAAATCAAAATTGTATTTCCATAAGAATAAGACGAAGAATTTTAACGCGGAGTGTGAGAATTTGGGTGGGAAATTTCTTAGGGGTTTCGGGTAATTTGAAGAGATATACACACTTTATTATTTTTGTTTTTATTTTTATTTTTAGGGGTTAGTGGGGAAAAATTAAAAAAAGGAAGTTTAGGCGTTGATTTTTGATTTTTGATTTTGGAAAAAATAAAAAAAGAAGAAAAGAGGCGGAAATTAAGGGAGATAAAATGATCGAAATATACGAGAAGTCGGTCTTTTTTGTTTGGTTGAGTTCATATTGGCTGGCGTGGGTGTGGCCAATATGATAGGTTTTTTCTTTGGTCAAAGTGTGTTTTCACGTGATTTTTTTAATAGTACTACTTTCTTTTTTAGAAGTGTGTGTTTATATGGCGGAAAGTGGAAACTGATTGGTTATAGGATTGTTATCAAATTTTAATGTTGGATGAGTTAATATGGATCATGGATCAACCTAGTTCGATTAGTGGGCAAGATTCGTATAAAATGGGGAGAAGAGTAAGAAAAGTTCTAGCTGTAAGGAGTTTCCGATGGAATTTGATCTCAACTGTGAGACTTTTTTTTTTTTTTTTGACAATAGCAAATTAATAAGAACCCAACTAATGCACTAAATTAGAGAGAGTGTCATTGGTCCGTTGCACCTATTCCCTCTTGACCTTAATAGCAGAACATTTCCTGAAATGGCCACAGTCTTAATCTCCTCAAGCTTCCAAGCAATCGAAATTTCATTTCCTCTGGCACTTTTTAGATTTTCTAGCAATAAAGCAGAGTCGGAAAGAATGAGTACTTCCTCCTTTCCTTGTGTTCCAACCCATTTTAACGCTTTTAGGCATGCCCAAACCTCACACTGTAAAGCCGAGGATGCCGTCCCATATTTGCCTCCACCATCGAAGGTGTAAGATTGGTCAAGCCTAGTGATAGCCCAGCCGATACCCGCCCTCGTAGACGCCTTATCCCAAGAGCCATCAACCTGCAAAATAAAGTTAGCAAAGCTAGTTTTCTGTACCCCTAAGTGTACATGGTTGAAGCCACGCGGCATGGTGGGCTCAGTACTTTCTTCTATCATACTCGGGCCCAGACCCCCTACCCCTTCAATGAACACCTCGTGTTCCTTAAGTGCTATGTTAACCAATTCTGTAGCCGTTGCCATGGTTACATCAACTCCCTTAAAAACTCTTGCATTCCGTGTTGTCCACAAACCCCACAGTGTTGCAATAAACTTGGTGATACGTGTACTATGTCTACCATCCTCGCTATAGAAGAGTAGGATAAAGTGCTGGATCCAACTTCGTAGAGAAGCGAGTCCATTAATATCACAACAAATGGTCATGAGACTATTATCCCTGCCTTTGCTAGAGAACAGAAACAGAACAAATGTTGGCTATCTTCTAAATCCAAACAACAAAAATCACAGGTTGCATTGATTGTTATGCCTCTGTTAGCCAGGTTTACCTTTACCGCTATGCCATCATAAAGGAGTTTCCACAGGAAGATCTTCCATTTTGGCTTGATGTTTAATCTCCAAATGAGTTTTGCAAAGTCTTCATCTTTTGTGGAAAAGGAATATTTGTTTATCATTTGGTCTTTAGAGAGAAAGTAATATCCAGTTTTTACACTGTATCTCCCGGACGGGTGGTAATTCCAATATGAATAATCTTCCTTCGATTCCGACGGTAGTTCCATAGAGAGGATGTTTTTGGAACTATTCCAATCGAAACATTGTCTAACCTTACCAGGATCCCAAGAGACATTATCCCTATATATGAAGTCGCTCACCATCCATCTCATAGATGCCCCAAGTGTTTGGTTCGAGTTTGTAATTGGGGTTAGCTCTCTCACCCAAGGCATGCTAATGGCCCTTATGTTTTCCCCATTGCCAACCTTCCAAGCAAACCCCTCCTTGAAAGAAGCAACCACTTTTTGTAATCCTAACCTTCCCATAGAGGGGTTTCCCACCCTCTTAATAGGCCTTGAGATGTTGCAAATTCCACATGGTTGAAAGCTAGTATGCACTCTTGAGATGAGGAGTTGTGGGTTAAGATGCATTCGTGATGCTTGTTTGAAGAGTAACGCTTCGTTGAGTTTTGAGGTACATCGAATGCCTAGCCCCCCCCCCCATACTCTTGGGGAGTTGGATTACCTCCTTTTTAACCCAATGCATTCCCTTATTACCATTATTCGCCCACCAGATTTTAGTGATGAGTGAATCAATTTTATTTGCTATACTTTGGGGAAGCTTAAGGCATTTCATGACATGAGCCGAGATACTAACCAAGACTGTGTTGATGAGAACCAGTTTTGCCTCTTGGGATAAATGCAATGAGGCCCAAGAGACTATTTTTCCTGTCACTTTATCAACAAGGTATTGGGAAGATAGCTTTTTCTTACCCTGGATATCTATCGGAGCACCCAGGTGCAGTCCCACGTTTGACTTCTCAGACATAGACAAGATCCTTTTTAGAGAGCATCTTACCTCCTCCAGCACCCCCAAAGAGAACTTAACAAAGGATTTTTGAAGGTTTAACCTTTGCCCCGAGGCGTTACCAAACCTGTGAAGAATGTCACTCACACACAAACAAGACTCCTCGGTAGCCTTGAAAGAAAAGCATAGCATCATCAGCAAAGAAAAGTTGGGAGATGGCCAGGGATCTCCTAGAAACCTTCAAGCCCTTTATCTAGTTTATATCTTCAGCCAGGGTTAGCGTTCTGGATAAAATATCCATACAAAAGAGAAAAAGATAAGGGGAGAGGGGGTCCCCTTGTCTTAGCCCATACTTGGGGGAAACAGATTCGAGGTGTGCCTGTTGATGACTATTTTGTAACTCACTGTTGAGACACATTGTGAGATCAACCTTATCCAATGGTTGGAGAACCCGTACATCTGAAGAACCTTTGTAAGAAAAACCCATTTTACCCTGTCATAGGCTTTAGACATGTCTATCTTGACCACTATGAAGTTCGAACTCTTTTTAAAGTTTATGAGATGCATGAGCTCGTGGCTCATAAGAATATTGTCTTCCACAAATCTACCCGGGATGAAGTTATGCTAGTAATCAGAAATGATGGGGAGCACCATTTTCAAACGGTTTACCAGGCACTTAGAGATACATGAGATACATTTGTAGACTGTGTTGCAGAGGCTTATAGGTCTGAAGTGATTTGCAATTTCTGGCACCTTAACTTTCGGGATGAGAACAAGAAGCGATTGGTTCCACTCTTTCAGCATATTACCAGAACCGAGGAACTGTTGGACACTATCGACGACAAGTTGGCCAACTTCCTTCCAATAAAGATGGAAAAAGTCCTCAATGAACCCATCCGGTCCCGGCGATTTCGAACCATGCATATCAAACATAGCTTTCCTAATTTCTTGAGTAGTGAAGGGTCTATCTAACCATTCACGATCCTCCCTACTTATTGCTTGAATATGCAATTGTCGAAGTAGTAAATCAATGTCCACCTCATGATTGATCCCAACGGTTGGATTGAAAGTTTCTTTGACCGAATTTAGAACCACTTCCTCCACTTCATCTTGCCCTTTGACCCATACCTCTTCATCTTTTCTTAAAGTCAGGATTTCCTTGTGCAGTTGTTTTTGTTTTGCCCTCCTATACATTAAATGAGTGGGACAATCACTGAACTCGATCCACTTGGATTTCATTCTTTGTTTCCAGTACTCAAAGTTGAGCTTGCACTCTGGAATAAGAGAATTAATTTGATTGATGTAGTACTCCCCTTCCTGTATTGAGTCAATGCTATCCCCCACCATTAGGGCTGTACACCGGTCCAAAACCGAACCGGACCTGGACCGGACCTGTTGGGACCGGGACCTGAATCAGGGAAATTTGAGGACCGGAGACCGGACCTGATTCAACAGGTCCGGTTCCGGGTTAGACCTGAAAAATCAGGTCCGGTCCGGGTTCGGACCTGAATAGACCTGTTTTTTTTATTTATTTTTTAATTTTTTATTTAAAAAATAAAATAATAATAACATAAAATCTGATATTATCAATCATGAATACTACATAAATTGTATAAATTGACTAAAGTCCCAATTCCCAAACACCAAAAATACTAGACAACAGTAACCACCAGATCTACCACCTTGAAAGTAGATGGTCGCAAAGGAAGGTCGGGGTAGATCGTGAAGCGAGTAAGAGGGCGATTGGTGTATGATTGGGTGGCTGCAGTCGCTGGAGTCGCGCGATCTGGTGGATGCGGTCGCCGGAGTCGCGCGTTCTGGTGGCTGCGTTCGCTGGAATCGCGCGTTCTGGTGGCTGCGTTCGCTGGAATAGCGCAATCTGGTGGTTGCGGCCTCTAGTGTCGCGCGTTCTGGTGGCTGCAGTAGCTGGAGTCGCGCGATCTGGTGGCTGCGGTCGCTAGAGTCCCAATTCCCAAACACCAAAAATACTAGACAACAGTAACCACCAGATCTACCACCTTGAAAGTAGATGGTCGCAAAGGAAGGTCGGGGTAGATCGTGAAGCGAGTAAGAGGGCGATTGGTGTATGATTGGGTGGCTGCAGTCGCTGGAGTCGCGCGATCTGGTGGATGCGGTCGCCGGAGTCGCGCGTTCTGGTGGCTGCGTTCGCTGGAATCGCGCGTTCTGGTGGCTGCGTTCGCTGGAATAGCGCAATCTGGTGGTTGCGGCCTCTAGTGTCGCGCGTTCTGGTGGCTGCAGTCGCTGGAGTCGCGCGATCTGGTGGCTGCGGTCGCTAGAGTCCCAATTCCCAAACACCAAAAATACTAGACAACAGTAACCACCAGATCTACCACCTTCAAAGTAGATGGTCGCAAAGGAAGGTCGGGGTAGATCGTGAAGCGAGTAAGAGGGCGATTGGTGTATGATTGGGTGGCTGCAGTCGCTGGAGTCGCGCGATCTGGTGGATGCGGTCGCCGGAGTCGCGCGTTTTGGTGGCTGCGTTCGCTGGAATCGCGCGTTCTGGTGGCTGCGTTCGCTGGAATCGCGCGATCTGGTGGTTGCGGCCTCTAGTGTCGCGCGTTTTGGTGGTTGCAGTCGCTGGAGTCGCGCGATCTGGTGGTTGCGGTCGCTAGAGTCGCGTGTTTTGGTGGCTGTGGTTGCTGGAGTCGCGCCATGTGGTGGTTGCGGTTGCTAGAGTCGCAAGTGGCTGGGGTTGCTAGAGTCGCGCGATCCAGTGGTCGCTAGAGGAGTGTGCAGCGTGAGGGAGTGGGTTTGTAAGTGTGTTGTGTGACTTGTGTTGGCTGAGTGGGTTAGGGAGTGAGTGATTAAGTTAGGGTTAGAAATGAACTGACTTCTTGTTTTGATATTTGGGAAAAAAAAAGTTTTTTTTTTTTAAAATACATTTTTACCGGGTTTCAGGTCCAGACCTGAAAACCCCGGGTTTGGACCTGATCCGGACCGGGACCGGAAACCTTGAATTTTAAGGACCGGGACCGGACCTGAATCTACAGGTCCGGGTCAGGTCCGGTCCCAACAGGTCCGGATCAGGTCGGTTTTCAGGTCCGGTCCTGTTTATGTACACCCCTACCCACCATACTCAAGTCCTTAGAAATATTTCTCCAGTTAATTCCCCACATCTTCTTGTTTTTTAAACACCAACTTTGAAGAGTAGTTCTCAACATACTTAACTTTTTAGTAAGCTGAAACATACAAGAACCTTGCACTTCTAGCTTCCAAGAATCATGAACAATTGCTTTTACCTCCGGAAACCGGAGGTACCAATTTTCAATTTGGTAAGGCCTGTTTGACCTTTAGAAGTAGGATTGGAGTAGTAAGTGATTGCAACATGATCGGAGCATATGATCGACTCATGAACAACTCTTCCATCCGGGGTGTGATTGAACCATTCCCCGGTAATATAGGCTCGGTCAAGTCTTTCTAGAATGAGCTCCCGATGTTTTCTCTTGTTACTCCAAGTAAACCGAGTCCTGAGAACGAGACCTCGGCGACATCACTACTTAGTCTCCAATCAAGAAAAGCATCACTTCCTTTACCTCGAAGTTTATCATTCCTACTTTCAATTTGGTTGAAATCACCAATAATAAGGACATTTTTTTATTCGTCCAATAGAAGTTGTAGAAATTCCTATACTACTCTTCTATTCTCCACCTGAGGCTCACCGTAAAGGAAAAGCACATACTTAAAATTTCCATTAATCTCAGAGATTTTACAAAGGATGAAGTTTTTAGACGAGTACAAGCATTTAACTACATCATTACACCAACTTAACACTAAAAGACCCCCACTACTACCATCCGAATCATACCCAAAAACTGAAGTTGGCCTTAGAAAATCTAATTTATAAGCGACATTACTATAAGCCATTTTAGTTTCCGAAACAAACATAAACATAGGCACTTTCGATCGGTAGATCCACACCAGCTATGGGGTTGCAAGGGAGTGTGGATCATTCAAGCCCCTGCAATTCCATGCAACGATATTCATAAACCCCTTGGGGGCTGTTCTGGTGCAGCCACCTCACCCTTTGTCGAAATTTCCACCGATTCTAAAGATAGTCACTTGTAAGTCAATATCCATGTCATCCTGAATTACCCTAAGCATTGAAGTAACCTCTTCACTCTTTTGTCTCTTGCAAGATTCGGAAGAAGAAGATGACAGTTCTTGTGGCCTCTTTAGTTTAGCCCACCGAGCTAGATCCTCATCAATTTCAATTTCAAATTCCCTCGCCATATTAGGGTCGGAAATGGCCTTCGAAGCAAACCTGTTGTTACCATTTTTATCCCTTAACCAAATGTTGAACCCTCCCTTCTCCGACCATCTGTGCAGCCTCCTAAGTCTCCTCCTTTCCACCCAAGTATAGTCCGTTTCACTTTGCCTAACCGAGTCACCGTCACAAGAATGCAGGTTGTGCTTTGTTGCCTCTATTATTCTCTGCCTTGCGTTAGCACTATCATCATAGTTAAATAAATCGGTAAAGTTAAAAGAAGTAAAAGGAGATACCGGGGTATTAGGGGGGTCGAACTCCGTGAGAGGGAGGTTCGACAACCACGCAAGTTCAGAATTAGTGAGCCTTAGGAATGGTGGAGTAGAGGCTCTCGGCCCATGTGCAATCCTTCGTGGATCATTGTTTCTTGCATTCCTGATTCCCAGATAAAGAATAGTACTTGCTTCAATCACACACGCATATTCCTCGTCATAAAGATGCTCAGATTCCACCCTGTTTGTCGCCATTATTGAGGAATTAAACATCCCAACTTGCAACAAAGAGGTCGGGGGTGGGGCTTGAATTCTATTACCCAAAAAGTTGGAGTTGTTGATGCCGAAAGCAACAGGTGAAGCAGCCCATTCAGAGATGCCTAGGGTGTGAAAGAGAGTTCCTAGGCCTCTACTTTGTTGCTGTCTTTGTTGGCCTGCTCAAGCCTCGCCTATTTCAAAGGTGGATCCTTCGAGCATGGGCCTCTGTTGAGCAGCAGAGGATTCCCCCACCTCATAAGTGGATCCCTTGAAGTTAGGACGGGTAGGGGGTGGAAGAGAAGCCCCTCCCATTTGAGATTGTGGCCGACTGTGATTAAGGTTTGACACCCTATTTGAAGTAAATTCTGCATATGGATCGTTCCCCAGCCCAAGTCTTCTCCCAGGTGAGAGTGTGAGATCCATTTGAACCGGTGCACTCTCCATTTCTGCTAATTCCAAATCCTCAGAAAAGTCCTCCTCCCCGATGTGAAAGTGTTCACTCTTGTCACTGTCCGGGGAGTAAGGTGGATTCTCGTGAAATGTATCATCATCAAATTCCATATTTTCACTCGGAACTCTTTGATAGATTGTATTATCTTCCGGTTCCTCTAGCCGCCTTAGATCCGCGCTAGTATTGCGGAATCTGTATATGTCCGGCAAACCATAAATATAATCAGTATAAAAAGGATATTCAGACGAGCCATACAAGACCTCAAGACCCTTATACCGTCTGCCTCAACTTCATCAAGTCTGCTTCTGACCCTCCTTCTAGCTGTCGCAGGATGCAGCAAGCATCTAGCCGTAGAGTGGCCAGCACACCCACATAGCTTGCAAAATTTGAAGACCCCTTCATACCTTAGGTAAACCCATATAACTCGGTCACCTTCAAGGGGAATGAAGCAGCCCGGTATGAGGGGGAGTGGAATATCAACGAGCATTCTAGCCCTTAATTCTGCTTGGAGAGGTAGGTTCTCTCCGTCATGATCAAGCTCCTCTATATATCCCAAATTTCGAAAGATTTGACGAGCCCATCCAATGGTTAAGTAAGCCAATGGAAGTCCATAGACTCTTACCCACAACCTAGTCATGGTGAAAACTCATTTGGTGGGGAACAAAGTCAGATTGGTGCCTTCTAAAATTGATGATTCTGCCTTCAATGATTGTAGAGTTGATGCGGACAAGACCCTCCTGATCTTCCCTATTCGAACATTCGAATAGATAGTAAGGCCCAGACCTGTGGACCCTAATTGCACCCCTTCTTATCCACCGAGAGTTAATAATGTGTTGCACAAACGACTCTGATGGAGGGTGTGGTCCAACAAAAGACCCAATGACACAAGCATTGAAGTTAATATGGTTAGAAGTCAAATTAAAATCTGGTGGAGGAGGGATGAGTGGTCCCCCTCTTAGATACGGGTTGTTATGCTCATTATGATTGTTGTGAGATTGATTATGATTACTCATACTTTACAAAAAGACAGAAAAGAAGGTAGAAAGGAAAGAGGAAAGAGTAGAATAAGACAGAAGAAAACAGAATAAAGAAAGGAATACTAAGAAGAGAAGAGAAATGTGTTTGAGATATTTTGATGAAGAACACTTTGCATTTATAGCAAAGCAAGAGGTATTGGTAGACGCACCAGTTTAAGCATAGGGAGGAAGAACATTGTAATTAACAATGCTAATAACACTCAACAATAGCCTAATAATAGGTACTGACAGCTAATTATGAGCTTGGAGCATTTAATGCTAAATGGGGATTGGTTGCTTGAGCCGCCCAAATATTAGCCCAGTTGAATTGTTGCAACCAAGGAGAGGTGAAAGGTTTGTAGCTTTTATAGAAGGCGAAGAGTATTCCCAGTAACAGCATAAATCTTAGAAGAGGGATAATCTTGGAAGATGGAAAGGAGGATAATACCACAAACAGAAGCAAACTAAAGAAAACCCTATCCCACCTAGAAGGAGCTTTAGGAAAACACCAATCCACGAGCTCAGAAGGAGATTCACAGTAAGATATTAAGAAACAAAAGCCAGCACTGTTACTTAGCATAAACCCTAGCTCAGCTAAGGAAGGACTCACCTGTGGTGAGAAGGGCTCACTTTCTAGTGAGAGATATATTAAAATAATGATTACAAATATATAATATTTACTAATAATGGTATGGTGCTTGTAGTTCAAACGAGTTGGCCAGCTTATAAACATTCATGAAAGATATGAATGTTCATCTTTCCACTATGGCTAATGTAATGGCACACACTAATGAACGTGAAAAAGATACACATGAAAGAGAGAAAAAATTAGTGCAGCAGAGTGAACAAGTGCTAGAGGAACTACTCTCTCTCAATTTAGAGGGTGTCACTCCTAAACAAGTGTTTGAAGTTGCTGAAGATCTAGCTTCGAAACCACACAAGCTTATGATATTTTCAAAGTGTCCAGACGCTTTGAAAAGTAGTTATGTTAAGAGTCTTATAGGGAAAACGGTGATGCTTATAACTTTTGTCGTGGTTACCTAGTTTGTTTTGAATTAGGTGTTATTAGCTTTGGTATGATTAAAAATTTTGTTGTTATGGAACAGTATTTTGGTATGATCAAAACTGTCGTGGTCTATGAACAATATTTTGGTATTATTTTCACAAAACATGATATGAAACAGGTCTCTCTTGGAATATTACAGGAAAGTATGGAAAGTATAAAAGTATATTTTTTCATGTTACAGGAAACTATGGAAAATATGAAAATATTTTTTCATTTTACAGGTCTATTTTTCCATATTACAGAAAAATAAGTTTTTTCCTTATTTTTTTTTGCTTATTATATAAAAGGAGGTTATTATATGAAAAAGAAAAAAAAAGAAAATTTAAAAATCATGGTTTGATTCCCTAGTTTGAACCAAGCAACCACAAAAGGAATCAATGAATAGTTCATTCCGTTTCCTGGACACAACCAAACGACTAGCTCAAATCAGGGGAATTCCTTTCCTTTCTCTTGCATTCTCTTTCTACATTCCATTTCCGATTTCCCTGTGCGAACCAAACAGCCCCTAACTAATAATAAGAATAATAAGTGCATGAAGTAAGTTGAAAATAACATGTCCTAAAATTCCCATTCCCACCCTCTATTCCTGTACAAAACACCCCCCTTAGAGGAAAAGGATATCAACGATTCCGGTTATCAAACTTTGCCGACGAAATCGTTCAGAAAATCGCCGAATCTCCCGAAAATCAAATTTAGAATCAATCACTTTAGGTATCTCTCTCTTCTTGCATCTTTTAACTTTGAACTAGGGTTTCGTTTTTCAGTTTTACTCGATTATTTTTTCGCAATGCATCTGCTAATTACACTAGAAAACTCTGCAAAATCATTGTTCATCCTAATTGTTCATGTTTAATTCTCACAATTGAGTCAAAATCAATGATACTAGTGTTTTTCTGGATATGATATAGGGTAATTTGTAGGATTAGTTCTTTGATTTTCAGATGAATTTGAAGGTATTATAACTGATGTCAATATTTTGGGTTGTTCGTCAGCTTGCATATATCCAGGAATCCATGGTAATTATCTGCTCACCTCCTTTTCCAGTATTGTAGTCTGAATTGTATTATGATAAGATTTTGTTGTTGTTTTCGGGCTATCATGTCGATTGATAAGATTTTGTTGTTGTTTTCGGTTTATCGAGTCAATTGATTTTGATTGATAAAATTATGTTGTGTGTAGGCGACATCGAAAAAAGTGATAACAAAGGAAGAATGGGAGAGAAAACTTAATGATGTAAAGATTAGAAAGGAGGATATGAACAAACTAGTGATGAATTTTCTTGTTACTGAGGGTTATGTTGATGCTGCGGAAAAGTTTCGTTCGGAGTCTGGAACCGAGCGTATCCTTTCTTTGTGTTGTAATTTATACATTATGTTGTTGTATCGGTTCTGTTTATTTATTTATTTATTTATTTTTTCCTTTTTTGTATCATGATATTTTTTAGTTTGCATATCCTTAATGATGCGTAGCGGATATTGATCTTGCAACGATCACAGATCGAATGGCGGTTAAGAAGGCTGTACAGTGTGGAAATGTAGAGGACGCGATTGAGAAAGTTAATGATTTGAATCCGGAGGTTAGTGCACCTAAATAGTGGTTATAGCTCATCATTTTAGATTTCTGTTTATTTCTTTGTTCATCAATAGAAGGATGTCTTTAGTTTAAACCCTGCCTTTTCAATTCAGTGTGTCAATTTGCTTGATAGTTGGCGGTGATGCTTCCCCCATGTCCATTTAATATATTGTTATCAAAATCTGTTCGTTCGTCTGTACCTTCATCTTCTGGACTTACACAAGGTTTTTACTTCGGGATGGCGTGCTTGATGAGATCCTTGAGACTGAATGTGGTTAAGTTAAAATTTTTTGTGCCTAGTGGTTTCATATAGCTTAAATATTGATAAAATTGATAGTCTTAAGTAAGTGATTATGAGAGTGGTGTGATAGCTGTGAGCTACCACCGGCCTGTTGCCCATACGTGTGTATCACTCTAAAATAGAACTTGGTCAGCTACGGGTAATGAGCTCACGCGCTGGTACATATTGTTGCTATTTTGCACCTGCATGGCTGCACCAAGTCATCAACTAGCCTTTCATTGGTCTCTCTGCTCTCTATCAACTTTGTTTGATGTTTTCACCTATTCTATAATGTGTGTCACCAAGTTCAAATTGAACTTCTTGCACATATTTGCCACTATTTTTGTAAATGGTACACCTATTTGGTCTTGTACTGTCTTATCAGTGTATTCGTAAAAGCACACTGTTGTTGCAAATATAATTAGTTTGTTGAAGTCTAACTTGTAGTCTTTACTTATTGTAACATGCCCTTCTATCATCCTGTTATATAAGTTGTTCCCACTGACTTCCATAGGCCATTTGAACATGTTTCTTCCTCTTCTTGCACTCTCTTGAGGGTTCTAGGGCATTATGGCAAGCATGGTCTTGATATTGTCGCTTAGGCTTGCAATGGAAAAGAATTCCTTTGAACACTTGTATTAAGGAAAAATTTACAAAAATAATCCCACCTTTTATGGTTCTTCTCAAAATAATCCTAACTTTTGATTAACTCAAGATAATCCAACCTTCATTGGCTATCTTCCCATTTTGGTCCATTACTTGTTAGTGACCTACAATTATAGGTAAATCCAAGTATTTTCTACATTATTAAACCAAATGACGTACAAAGTATTTTATTACACATAATAAACTAATAAATTATACCTTGATAAAAAATAAAAATTACTTTAAAAATTCCTAATTGCACCCACCCATCCCCACCGTGTAACACACAAGCTCAAGACCCACCCTCAAACTCACCACCACAACCAACTGAAGCCCATCCCACCACAACCACCATCAATCGAAGTCCACCATAAACACCCCCACCATCAACAAAGCCGCCCACAACCAAAGCCCAAACCAACGATACAACCCTCAACCCACAACACCTATCTCCATATAAAGACACGCCCACTACAATCCACAAAATCCCCAACAACCCACATAACATCGGCGGTGGATACTTGCAGTATCTTTAATTTTAAATTTTAATGAAGCACCCAATTGGAGCCGAGGACAGGCGAGAAGGAAAGTGGAAGCGGTCGGGTTAGCTGCGGTGGTCTAATGAGGGTGGTTATGATGCTTGGTGGTGGCAGCGACGGTGGTGATTGTGTGGTGGTGGGTTAATGGCGGTGAGTAGCAGGGTAGGTGGTTTTAGAGTGGATTTGGGGTGGAGAGAGGAGAGAGAATTAAATTTAGGATTGAAATTAAATTTTAGAAAAGATAAATATTAAACTCTTTAATTGAACCTGTTCAACAGGTAGCAGGTAAATATGGACTAAAATGAGAAGATAAGTCCAAAGGTGGAATTATATTGAGTTAATCGAAAGTTAGGATTAGTTTGAGAAGAACCATAAAAGGTGGGATTATTTCTGTAAATTTTTCCTTGTATTAATGGATGAGTTGAGGCACTGGCTATGTGTCTTTGGTTCAATTGTTCAAAATTTCCCTTTTTTCAATTCATTTTTCATGCAGCTTTTAAATTGCGATTATCAAAGCGTTTGAGTTCTTGCTCATACCCTTGGGGCCATTTTGACCAAGTATGTAGCATGAAACTGGAGAAATAATCATAGAAATATAGAAATAGCCTTTTCTCATCTCTAATGACTTTAGATTGACCCTGGAATATCGAGTAAAGAATTTCTGGGTGCTCAATACCTAGGCAACCTAGCAATCATGTACCTTATCATTTAGCACTTATTTTGCTTAAAGCCTGTCAATAGTTTGGCTGCTCTATGTTAGTTCTTATTAATAAAAAAGTGTGATCATCAAGACAGGGATAAGTTTTTCTATGAGTGAACACTAGACCAGAATATGCAGCATGAGTCTGCTATGAAATGATTCTTATAATCATATTTCCAGCATCTAAAAATTTGGATTAATCAGGTCTGCAACCCTTATCTGATATGTAGTACTTAATTTTGTCTTTAATCTTTGAGAAACTTTTTTACTGTTAAAATATTATCAGGAAAATGGTTGGGATTAGAGCTCTAATTTCAAATTTTGGAAATTAGGCACAACATAGTTCTAGTTTGTATGCATTTTTACTTTTTGTTTGTTAACATAGCAACAAAAAACCAAGGATGGTAGGAGAGGGATGAAAGCATGTGACGTTTGTGTAAGAAATGGTAGGAAAGAGAGTAAATCATGAAACTTTATCGTAATATATCCGAGTCGGTAATTGAACACGAAACCGTGTCAGATATGGGCTCAAAATCAACTAGATGAAAAATCCGCTTATCCTTGAATAAACGATTTTTCATCTGCCAAGCTAGAAGATCCTGCCATTTAACAGGTGTGCTAGTTGATGTTCTATCCTCCTCTAGCTTGTATCTCAGAGTCAATCTTATTGCTTATCTCTTGGATATATTGTTAATAGTTAGGACCATTTTTTCCAATCTCTCTTTAAAGCTTTTCAGTGAGGCTTTTGAGCCATTGCACAGATGATAATTCATTAATGTCAGTGCTTTTAAGTTTTTTGGTGCTGTTCTGTGGAAATTTACTGGCTTTCTTTGGAGACTATAATGTATTTTGTTTCTAATAACTTCCTAAATAAACTATTAGTAGTATACAAAGTAGCTAAATACTAAGTGATTTTTAGTGATAAAGGTGGCCATTATTATTTCTACATAGGAGCTTATTGATATCCGTAGAAAAATCACCTTTTTGGTTGATGATATTCATCCCATACTTCAGAAAAATACAGTTGTGGCATATACATCCCATGCTTTTAAAGTTGAGGTTAAATGAATAGTCGAGTAACATATTTCACTAGGCATGCTCACTTAGTTAGACTTTAAGCCCTAATGGCTTCTCAATGGTCCAAGACCAATCCAAATTTTATGTGCTTGTAGTTTGTCTTCTCTCTCATATGGCAGACCTTTCCTTCCTCTCCGCTATATGTAAATGTATTATTGTTCATTGCTGCTTTCATTTTCTTTGTCGCTGTCATCAACATCATAATTATATTTTTTTTTAAGGAGAGAAAACTAGGTTAGACCTGAATGTAAGTGTTAATTGAAAAAACTCTTACAAGTGATGGAAGCAAGAATTACATCAGTCGTATCAAACCAAACAGTGAGGGAGGAACATTTGATGCCCATAATAAGCCATTAATCAACTACTTTGTTGGCCTCGCAAGTGATTGGGGATAGCCAAACGTGTAGCGATTCATTTCCATTAGGTTTTGTGTCAGAAATTGTATTAAGCATCTCACCTTGTTTTATTTGATGACACTGATGTAATCCTCTTCAATTACATTTTTTTTTTTTTTTTAAATCCTAGCTATTTAGCCACGAGAATGCCATTTTTTCCTGATGCTTTGGAGCCAGGCATCAAATGTCGTATTACCTTCTTGAAGTTTTGATCCATAAATTCTTTAGCTTAAAAATATATTAATGAGATTGCCACACTATGTCTATTATTAATAAAATCGGTTATATACTTATTTCAGACTCTTTAACTTGGATGGATTGCCTGAATCCAAATGTTTTAGAAAAGACTAATCTTAGTAAGCATTCCAAAGCAAGATTTTATTATAAAGTTTTTCCCCCCTTGCATACCAAATGAGCCTTTGTTTTTGTTTTTGTTTGGGAACCCTCAGTTTCAGTTTGGATATCTTGATAGGTTTTCAATATGTATAATTTGGTGCAACATTATGCGAAGCGCCTTTTTAATATATGGAGTTGTTGATAAATATGATAATTAAAGGCTAAATTGTGGAGATGTTGCTTTTCAACTCTCAAATACTACTGCCTCTTAAGGTCAAAGAGAAGAAATGAAAAGGATATATGATTACTTTCCAGTCTATTGCTGTTGTCTTTCTAAAATGAAATTTAAGCTATTACTTCTGCTTATCAAAGAGAGAAAAATTAGAACTTCATTCTCCTTTTCAACTGTGAGCCTGGGCCCATTTGGTCTTTTAGATAGAAGAAATAATAGAATTTAGGTGGAGTCTCTCACATGTTCTGGCTGGCACATTGGATTGGCACATGTTTCTTAATATTCTGCTTTGCTTGAAATAATCTAATAATCTTTTACTAATGACTAATCCCCACAGGTATCAGTGTTTGAGTTCCCAGACGTACAGTTAATGAAAAATGTCCAGACTTACAATCTTTTTAGCATGCATCAGTGATCATATTAGGTAGATGGTAGGGTAGCTTGAATCATCTTGTGGAGGAGTGTGAGCTTGAGTCAAGCTTGATTTGAGTCGAAATTTAACCAAGTTGGTAGCTTTGCTTGAGTTTTAAGTTTAATCAGGTCTGTCCCCAACTCCCAAGTATCTTAGTCTAGCTTTATCATCAGTATTCAACTGCTTTTGCTCCATGAAACTTACCTGTAAGTGCTCGATAGCAGTAAGCGTTACCAAAGCACTTAATCCATTCAACTAAATAACTAACAAGTCACTACCATTATACCAGTAGCAGGACATTTCTAGGAATGGGCAGCTTATCATTATTATTCTGTTTCTTCATAGCTGCTTCGCTTTCAAAAGATTTTACTTGTTTTACTTGAAAGTAGAGGTAGATGGAGGACATGCTTTAGGTGTTTACTCCACGTGTTTGGTTAGGGTCACTGGGCCATGACTTTTCTGTTTTAGATAGCATGTCGCTGCCTGCTTATATTGGACTAATGGAGATCACATAGTTTTATGCCATATACTAAGTATTACTCAGCATGTATAAAGTACTCCATACTGGCCAAGGTTGTCATCATGAGTACCTCTGCTGCAGTAGATAGTTTGGCTATATGTTATATTTCCCAAAGAACTCTGCTTTCAAAGGAGCCTCACTGTGGTGTTGATCACTGACGAACATAAAGAAAACCCGGAGTTGGTGTTTGGTAGTAGACTTGTACACACCCAATTCCAAGTAATCCATATTGTTTGTTTGATGATAGTTAGAAACGACTAATTGTTGAAATTTGTATATGATCATAACTCACAAGCTTTACTTTCAGTCATTTCCTTATTCTGTATGTTGATCTGACTTCTCTGCTTGATAATATCTTGTGCAGATACTTGATACAAACCCACAACTGTTTTTCCATCTTCAACAACAAAGATTGATAGAACTGATCAGGAATGGGAAGATAGAAGAGGCTTTGGAGTTTGCTCAGGAAGAGCTTGCTCCGAGGGGGGAAGAAAATGTAATACTTTGTCTCCTTAAAGCAAAATTGTCATCTGTACATATGTCAAATAGTCTTTTTTTTTTATCCATTATAGATTTCAGAACTGCATCCTTTCTCTTTATATATAGTGTTGTCATTATTAATGGTGCTAATTAAATTATGAAATGTATCACAGCAAAGCTTCCTAGAAGAGTTGGAGAGAACTGTTGCACTCCTTGCCTTTGAAGATGTCTCTAACTGCCCAGTTGGGGAGCTTCTGGACATCTCACAACGTTTGAAGACAGCCAGTGAGGTAAATGCTGCCATTCTCACAAGTCAGAGTCACGAAAAAGGTATGCTCAAGTTTGCTCATCTATCTCTCTCTCTGTTTTTACAAATTCGATACTTGACTGCCATTGTGTTATTTCTTTTCAATTTCTGATTCATTGTGTTTGTTTGATATACCTGTTACAAACAATGGTCTTCACTACCAGATCCCAAGCTACCAAGCTTATTGAAAATGCTTATATGGGCTCAAAATCAACTCGATGAAAAAGCTTCTTATCCTCGAATAAACGATTTGTCATCTGCCAAGCTAGAAGACCCTGCCATTTAACAGGTGTGCAAGTTGATGCTCTATCCCCCTCTAGCTTGTATCTCAAAGTCAAGCTTATCGTACCTTGGATTCAAGCTTGTAATCTGAAAAGACTTAGTTAGTCTTTCCTCTTGGATATATTGTTAATAGTTAGGACCATTTTTCCCATCTCTCTTTAAAGCTTTTCAGTGACTTTTGAGCCATTGCCCATTGCACAGATGATAATTCATTAATGTCAGTGCTTTTTAAGTTTTTTGTTGCTCTTCTGGGGAAATATACTGGCTTTCTTTGGGGACTTATAATGTATTTTGTTTCTAATAACTCCCTAAATCAACTATCATTTCTAAATAGGAGCTTATTGATGTCCATAGTAAAATCACCTTTCTGGTTGATGACATTCATCCCATGCTTCTGGAAATTACTGTTACGACATACATCCCATGCTTTCACACTTTGAAGACGTTTTGAGTTTATCATGAGTTGCAAATTGGATTGCCAACTTGAGTTATTCAATAAGGCTGAGTTTTTCTATGTGACAAGGAAAGATTAAAAACCTCTCGCAATTAAATCCAACATCAAGTGATGCATTGAATATCATGCCGTAGATGGCAATGAGTTGGGTTGAGCCAATCAAAAAGTCGCACCCAAGGGCACGATCTGAGCCACAAGGGCATGGAACACTCGTTCAATTTTGTTAGAATTGTAGTTACAAAATACGGTGTATACTTGTACGGTTGTATCCTTAAAGTAGATTATTAGACCAAAGGAGGAACCTATTGTCGATGTTTTGAAATAACTCCATCCGTCTCTTAGTTTTAACATTTTTTTTTAAGATAATCATCGTTCAAATAAGAATTAAGAACTATAGAGTATTAGAGACGGAGAGAGTATCTTTTATTAAGAATTATTGTTTGCTTTTTGGACCAGAGGAGGAACCTATTGTCGATGTTTTGACATAACTCCATCCGTCTCTTAGATTTAACAATTTTTTTTTTAGATTATCATCGTTCAAATTAGAATTAAGAATTACAGAGTGTTAGAGACAAAGAGAGAGAGAGTATCTTTTACCAAGAATTAATGATCACTGTTGATGATGAATGATTATTCAGCAATGATAAACTTCCAGGTTCCCATAAAAATAATGATGAAACCTGTCATTCGAGCAAGAAAACATGGATTCCTTGTAGATTAGTTGATGGATGAGATCATAAGACATACTTACTACAGTAGAAACTAGAGACTGTTGCTGTTCTAGTACTACTTGTCCAATTATTACCCGATTTTATGCGGTAAAAAAAATGGCAAAAAAAAAAACCCAATGAATGCTTTTTACTTTTTTAGCACAAGGTTGAAAGTAACTTAAAACCACCACAAAACAAACCACTGAATTCTCAATAAGAGAATATATAGAGGGCCCCACTACCCAACTGATTTCTCTGCTTCTTCACAGCTACTTACCTGTGTTTGTTGCAGACTACCAGTCGGTCACTTCATCAACACTTTTACCCAAATGAGGTAAAAATTAAACAGTAAAACAAAATTACTGTAGTAGACACTTTTCTGCAAATAAGTAGAAATTCCACTCTCAAGTCTCAAATGAAACAGCAACACAGCACTGAGGAAGGATAAATCCACATCCAAGCCCTTTTACTAGGACAGGAAGGACAAGCAAATCCGATTATCTGATCCGAAATCCAATTTAATTATCCCATATTTCAAATATTTGATCCGAATCATAGAACCAAACCCGATATCCGGTTCTGCTCACCCCTAAATTAGTCCCTCACCAACTAGTACAATGACACTTTGTTTTTGTGGATAGAATAATACTCCATATGACATTTTCTGTGTCTTCTTATTTGCCAATTTATTTTGGTGGGTCATCTAGGAAATAAGAAAATACAGTAAAATATAAAAATAGTAGATGATCCAGAAAAATATACCAATAACCCAAAGACAGAAACCCCAATTGGATTAATTTAAGCATAAAAGCCAATTTTTGCTAACTTATATGCAAATTTTTGCAAACTTCAGGGAAAACATTAGTCAATTCACTAAGTACTAGACTAGTACTACATTCAACAAACCCTGATTTATCAAAGTCTGATCAAGAAAACATAAACTAAAGTAGAATTAGCAGCTAAAAAGAAGAAAAATTGAAGCTTGTAATAATATCCAATTCCATTTTCTTCTCCAACAATACTCACTGCTCCTCCTCTGCTCCTGAATACTCCATCAATGGAGGAGTTGTTGCTGTTGCCATTGTCGACGCCATCGTCGAAATTAAGAGCATAACTTGAAGGATCATAATGAAATGTGACCTGTTTTTTCTTGTTCTTTTGATTATTACTCATAACACTCTTCTTAACTGCTGCTCTTACTCTCCAGAATAAGCTTCTGCATTGCTTTTTACAACAATTTCTGTTAATCCACCCAAAACTTCTGGCAAAACCCATCATTAATTTCGATTAAACTTGATGATTTGATGGGTTAAATGTAAGAAAGATTCAATTTTTAGGAGTACCCACTTCAATTTAAGTAAGAATATTGAAGGGAGTTTGATCTTATAGAAAATTTCTAGCAAAACCCATAAATAATTTCGGACAAATTTGATGATTTGATGGGTAATTCGTAAGAAATATTCAATTTTGGGGATTACCCACTTCGAATTAAGCAAGAAAAATGAAGGGAATTTGTGTTCTTTAGAGTTGATAAAAAAGGAGGTTTTTTGACCTTTATGTTTATGAGGGAAATGAAGGACGAAGTTGAAGAAGGGGAGTTATAAATAAAAAGGGAATAAATTATGGAAAATGTTAGAAGATAAATATGAATGCCTATAATTATTTGATTTGATTTCACAATGTTCACATAAGTCTAAAGAGTTGTGAACTTGTGTGGCATTATATGTAAAACTCTTGGCTATATAAGCCATGTTACCGGAGCAATATACATAATCAATTTCTCCATTTTCTCTTACTCCTTTATAAAACTTTCTATTGGTAAAACTTCAACACGTTATCAGCACCAGTTTTCAGTCAAGTATATTTATACCTACTTATAAAAATTTATAACAAAGTAATACTATCTACTTCCAACTGTTTCGAGGAGTATGCTCTATAGTTGCCCATATTTGGGATCCTCTATAACAGAAACTCAAACATTTACTATATATACCTCAAAAAAACAACGGTGAAAGTTCTCTTACTTGTGAATTTACTACTATCATCTTTTGTTTATTCATGTTGATGTTTCTTTGTTTGATCCATGTTGATATTACATACTCATTTTACGTAAATTTTTATCTTAGTTATTATAATTGCTAAGTAGTAGCTTTGCATGCATATTATTATTAACTAGATTAACAAAAAGATGCAGTCTTTTTATACTTATTATTTTTCTTACTTTTACATATTTTTTTGTGTTTCTTTCCGTTTTCGAACCCATGATCTTTTATAGATATTAGGGCTCTCGGACCACTGTGGTTTGCATTCCCAGTGTGATAACCTTTTACAATTATAAATATATATATATATGGACCATAATTTTATGCCAATACGTTAGACTATTATATGATATTTTTACAGTTGTACAAAATAGTAACGGATAAACATACCTCTATAAAAGACGGATTTTTCCCCCAATTTCACCACAAATCCTTTATCTCTTCCCACTTTTTATCCAAAAATCACCTAAATTTTTTTTTTCACCCCCTTCTTCTCCGATATGTTCCCCGACGACGGCAACCAAAACACCCACAACTTCACTTTTGAAGAAGATTTAAGGAAGTTAAAACAATATTTCCTTCTAATTACGGCACTTGTAGTTCTATTAGTAGCAATATTAATTTTTGTCATTATGTATAAGTAAAACTCACTTATTTTGTCGTTTTAGTATATTAAAAGCTTGTTTTTGTTTTATTATGTTGTTTGTTGTTATTAATCATCATTGTATAATATTACCGTTATCATTATAATTATTGTTACTACTGTCATTGTTGTCGTTTTGCTGTTTTTTTTGCAACTAACATGATTGATTTTTGTCTAATCATATAATTACTCACAATAATAAACCAAGGGGGAGAAAAGACTATATTATTTATGGTTTATTATTATTAAATTTAATTATCACGTGTCTTATTAACTTAATTATAAATATGGAAGAACTAAACATGTGAGTTGTACATATAATTTGTTATTATAATCTAATTATCACGAAATTTGTTGTAGCTAAAATGGGAGACCTTATGAAAAGACAGTTCAACATCTTAGATTTATCTGGAAAGAAATTTCTGGAATGGAAAGTGGATGCAATGATGAATTTGAAAGCTCAAGGTTTGGAGCACACTGTTAAAGAAAATAAAAGTCCTTCTGGTCAAACAACTGATGCTACCTCTTCTGCAATGACGGTTGAAAAACCTATCACTGAACAAGATAAGGCAAAAGCCTTAGTGTTACTAAGGCATCATTTACATGAAGGCCTTAAAACTGAGTACATGATGGTTGAAGATCCCAAAGAATTATGGGATTGCCTTAATGAAAGATTTGGACACCACAAAAGGGTGCTCCTGCCTAAGGCATTATTTGATTGGACAAATTTACGGTTCCATGATTTCAAATCTGTAATTGCTTATAATTCAACCATACATGAGATAGTGTCTATATTGAGATACTGTGATCATCCGGTTACAGATGAACAGATGATTGAAAAAACACTCACTACCTTTCATGCAAGTAACATATTGTTGCAAGAACAGTATCGTGAAAGAGGTTTTTAAAAGTTCAATGAATTAATGAGTATATTGCTTGTTGCGGAACAAAATAGTGAACTTTTGTTGAAAAATCATAACCTGAGACCAACTGGGTCTTTGGCCACTCATCATGAGGCAAATGCAACAAATTCATATCCACCCGAGTCAAATGCTACAAGAAGAGGTGGACGTGGAAATTACAATGGCCGTGGAAGAGGCCGTGGAAATTATCGCGGACGCGGCCGTGGTCGTGGTAGAAATAATTTTCAAAGAAACAGTAATTTCAAAAATTTTGAAAAACAGAAGGGGCAGTCATCTGGAAGCCACAAACAAACTCCTTCGAAAGGAAAAGACACATATTACAGATGTGGCATGACAGGACATTGGGGACGTACTTGTCGAACGACCAAACATTTGGTAGACCTTTACCAGGCTTCTGTAAAAGGCAAAGAGAAAAATGCAGAAGCAAATTATGTTAATGAGGAAAATGCTCCTTGTCCCAGCCTTGATGTGTCTGATTATTTCATGGATAATGCTGAAATTGGAAATGATTTCATTCTTGGAGAAAACAACAATACTTAGG